GATGTGGCAAGCGTTTGTTGTGTGAGAAGGGTTTCTTAAGAAAAAACAGAATATTGTGACAGGATTTAAAAAAAATTTCTCAGTTACCACCCACCTCACTTGTTGCCTACAAAAATAGAGTAATTGTTTGCATCTGTGTGTGCTTTTTTTCTCCTTAAGAAATAACTGTTATAAATCAATGTGACATAGATCCAGTGAACTGAACCTTGCTGCAGGTTTTTTTTTGGAGGGGTGGTGTGCAGGGGTCTTTTTTTTTTTTTTTAAATTCAGACTGAAATGTAAAGATTTTTTTTTTGACAATTGAGAAGGAAACTACCCATTTTTTAAAAAGGAGAATTTGGATTTTAGAGTGCACTTTCCAAAATGAATGCAAAAGACTTTTGGAGTATCACAGTGATAAGTATTAAATTGATCCTGGAAGTAGAGTTGGGAATTTCTAGTTTTTGATCTGTATAAGACTGCAGTCTGAGAGAGGCCTCCTTTTAATCTCTCTTCAACTTTATTCCATTTTTCTGTTTAAACTTTCTGGCTTTCCCCGCCCCTTCCCCCACCCCCATTTTTAAATAAATTCTAATTAAATCACTTGCTTTTCATCCACTGCTTTTAAAAGTGGTTTTCCTATTCTGTGTGAGGAGTAAATACCTTTACTTGGGTTTTTTTTTTTTAAGATTTATTTTTTTTTTATTACAAAGTCAGATATACAGAGAGGAGGAGAGAGAGAGAGGAAGATCTTCCGTCCGATGATTCACTTCCCAAGTGAGCTGCAACGGCTGGTGCTGCGCTGATCCGAGGCCGGGAACCAGGAACCTCTTCTGGGTCTCCAAGGCCTTGGGCCGTCGTTGTCTGCTTTCCCAGGCCACAAGCAGGGAGCTGGACAGGAAGTGTAGCTGCTGGGATTAGAACTGGCGCCCATATGGGATCCCGAGGTGTTCAAGGCAAGGACTTTAGCTGCTAGGCCGTGCTGCCAGGCCCAAGTAGCTTTACTTGTTTTTTATTTTTTATTTTTTTATTTTGACAAGCTTTACATAGGTAATTAGGGTAAAAAGGGTCAAGGGCTACAGGAAAGTGGATAAGACTAGTATTTTTTTCCATATTGTTTCCTTCATGTTTAAAGGAGGGTATTAAGGGAGAAGGCCCACCCAATTTCCCACCCTCCCCAGGTCCTGGATATAGGGTATGCTCTGAGGATCTTGCTCATGTGGTTTTGATATTTCATTGGTTATGAATCGCTGCCAATCTTGCCACTCCAAGCACTATCAGGTCTTTGAAAAATCCACTGATTGACATAGTCCATCATCGCTGAGATGGTTGGTTGACCTGTTCTGTCTTCTCTCTTTTCTTCGTTAGGGTTCTGAGTCCAGCATTTAGTTTAGAAAGATCTCCAAAGAAACTTTGTCTGAGGTGTTCTCAAACCAGATTCTTGTATGTGCTAGCAAGTACAGGGCCCGGCACAGTCCATTGCCCTGATCAGCTGGTGGTTGTAATGGCTGGGTTGGTTCTGTTTTCACTCCTGACTTCCACTGGAACCAATGGGTGTTGCAGTCCAGCCTGGTTCTGCCCAGCACATACTTGGCCCTCATATAAACCAGTGGGAGCTGCAGCCTAGTTGGAGCGACCCACAATAACCCCCACCAGGACCGCCCCCTACCCTGGTTTGCCAGTATGTGTAGCAGTAATCCAGTCTGTCCCACACCCCATTCCACCGTCTTAGTTTTATGTCCTCCTGTGGAAGTGGTAACCCAAGAGGGATGAGCCCACTACTTCCCTCCCAGGCCTCTCCCACTCCCAGATTATGCACTCTCCAGATAGTTCTGTGGTTTGACTTGACAGAACTAGCCCCCAGTGCCAGCTTCTGCCAGCTGATGCTGTGGCTAAGCCCAAACAACCTTCGCCCACTCTAATTTTGTTTGCACCAGTAGGAATAATCGGCCCAGCCCGGCTTTTCCCTGATCTAGTCCACATGAGGCGCACAGGTGTTGTAGCCCTGCCTAGTCTGGTCTGCCCCCATCCCAGCCTATGCTCTCCTGCGGGAGTAGCAGTCCAGCAAAAGAACCCTCCCTTATTCCCCTGCCAGCTCTGCCCCCTCCCTTCCTTGTTCACATGCTGGTTGGGCACTGCGGTCCCTTCTGATACAGGCAACCTCACCTTGGCATTCCATATTGTGCACTAGTCTTTGTTGCGACCGAACTTGGCTTGACTCACACTGGTGCTTGAATTTGCCAGTGGATGACGTGGACAGATTCAGCCTGGTCTTCCCCCAACCCCTGCCAATTGTATGTCAGTGGATAACTTTCCATGGCCTGTCTGGGCTGTTTCCTATCATGTTGCTTGCACTTACCTGCCGGGTCTGTGTCCTGCCAGAGGAGTTGCCCAGACTCCTCCATCAGAACCTCTCCCAATGCCAGGTTTCACACTTACCAGTGGGTCCATGAGCCAGCCCTACTCAGTCCACCACCTGTCATAGCAGAAACTGTGGCTTTTCTTGACTGGCCTTCAACCCAATCTGGTTCTTGCTGTTGGATGTTTCAGCCCAGCCATAGTTTGTCCATACCCACGTATGGCTCACGCATGGTTCAGTAGGGGTTTGAGACCTTGCCTAGTCCATCGCACATCTGCCCTGGTCCTCCAGGACACCAAAGGGTTTTGGGGTCTGGCCCGGTTTGGTGCATCCAATCCCAGTCCACACTTGTGCCAAGGGAGACTACAACCGTTTACAGATCAGAATGCAGCCCCTATTGCAGGTCACATGCCCCTTGGCAGGAACCTCAACCCAGCTAGGGTTGTCCCCTTAGCTCCCCAACCAGGCCTGTTCCCAGCCATAGATCACTCGCATGCTAGTGGTTGCTCTAACTCAGCCTGGCACAGCCCCTCACCTGTCCCAACCTCTGCCTTAGATACTGTGGCTTAGCGTCCCTGGCTCATGTGGACCAGTAGGTACATGAGCCTAGCTCGGCATGACTTGTGCTCCCTCCTGGTTTCTAGTTTTGTTTGTGGGCTAAGGTTTGCTCAGTCCTGCCTGATCTACCCTGTTCCATTACCACTTGACACATTAGCCAGCTTGTTGGAGCTACTTTTCCCAGCTTGTCCGACCCCCAGGTCTGGACCACATGTTCACCAGTGGGAGCTATGACTTGCCAAGGGAGTTTCCCAAGTTCTTCCACTTAATCCACTCCCAGACCCAGTTCTCATACATGCCATTGGGTTTAGGCCAGTCTCCGACACAGTCTGGCCTTCCATTTGGTCTTGTATGAGCTGGTGAACGTTGCAGCCCAGCCCACCCCACATCCTAATCAGGATGCACAATCGGGTGCTGCTGCCCTGACTAGTCCAGACTATTGTGGGTTCCTTTATCTGTGATTGATGGCAGGCTCCTAGGTCACACTTAGCTTAGTCCATCACCACCCCAGCTCTTGAGATAACCAGTGGGGCTAGAATTTTCACGGGATGTGGCTCATACATTCCTCACAGAATTTACCCCCGGTTATGGTTTTTGAGTGCTAGTTAATGTAGTGGCTTGCTTAATGTGACCTTTCTCCTGATCCATCATCATGTCAGGTAAAATGATATAATTCTGCAGGACAAGCCACAAGCCATAGCTTCTGCACGGACTGGTATTTGGTGGTCAGCGTTGTTCAGTGATTACAAGTTTTACAAAGGAAGAGTTACTGCCAGTGGGAATCTTTACGAATGTTTCAGGTCCTAGAAGCACAATGGGTTCAACCTGCAACTAATTAAGCAGCGACTCAAAGAACCAAAACTGCAGAGCTCCCCGGCCGGGCAGCCAGCAGGCGGAGCCTGGCACCAAATGGCCCGGGGACAGCTCATCACATGCACATGGTGGCTGTCGTCTGGGATCCAGGCATGAGACGCCCTGTCCTGAGACCCACCACAAGTACCTTTATTTGTAAGAAAAGATTTTAAATAGTCTTCTTATGTTCCCTGAATAGTGTTAAAATAGATTGTCAGTCCTAGCCCTTTATTAATTTTTGAGGAACATAATGGCAAATGAGATAATAATTTTATTGGAGTAGAAATTTATTTTGATAGTATTTTATATAGGTGTCCTATACAACAGATGTGTTTACTTTTAAAGATAAAATACTGCACATACTTCATGGATTCTAAATCATAAAGATAATTTTTATTCCTCATAGTGAAATCTTACCTTTCATCAAAGTTGAGTCAGGAACTTGTATCTTGTTTTAGTTAAATTTTTACAAATTGCTCTGGTATAACCATGGTATTTTACAATCTGTGAACTTATACTTTCATGATGCTTCTACTTCATTTACATAGTAGTTTTTTCTCTTAATTTTCAGTAAGATCTATTTTTAAAAATTATACCAAGCTTCAAAATTATGTGGTAGATTTGTTTTGTTCAGTGCTAATGTTCATAAAACTTTTTAATCACTGGAAAGGTTTTATTTTCACACTTTATATACAATGTTAATATAATGTAAATATGAATATATTAATGTGATGAATGTATCAATAAAAGTAATACATATTTTATACTTACATATAATGTGTCTATTACATAATATTTTCCTCTGTCATTTGGCTTTCTTTGGTTTTCCATTAGTTCTGTATGCCTTTACACTAGAAGCCAAATTGGAAAGCATTTTTCCTTATGTGTAAAAAAATATTTTATAATAACACTGAAGATTGAAAATAACTTACTTATCCATCTGTCTATAAATCTTCAGAATTTGGCACAGTTGTGCAATGTTTAAAGTCTTATCTATTCTTTTTCTGATTCTGATATCACAAGAAAAGAGTGATTGTATAGATATGATTTCATTGCAAATTATACAATTGGAAAACATTTACATAAGCTGAATACAAATATTCTTGGCAGTTATTCTTATTGTGTAAGAATAACGAGTTAGTTGTAAATTAATAGCAAGGCAAATTAGTAGTGATATTAAATTAAAATAGGCTTTTATTTTCTAATCAAAAGAATGTTCATGTTTTTCTATTGGCAATTTAAGCTTTTATATATGTTGCTTTATAATTTAGTAAAATGATTTCAGACATTTTTAGGGTATAATGTGGCAATTAATTATACATCTGTATTATGACATGACCAAATCAAGGGAATTAACATATCTTTCACCTCAAATACCTATCATTTCTCTGCCCTTTTTATGGTTTTGAATTGTTTAGTGCATTGTTAATAAGTATGTTGATCATGCTGTGTGTAATAGACTATCAGAACACTCGTTTTTAATATTAAACAGAACTAGTTGATGAACAATGTTTTGCACATTCTTTTCTGAGGAGTTTCTTGCTCTATTAAGCTGTAACTTAATGGGCATGCTCCATTTTGAGAAGTATATTTTAACTGAAGTCTATTATTTTTATTCTTTTTTGTTTGTCAGTATGTGTCAAAATCTATCATGAACATTTGGTTTCTTGACATGTATAATAAAATGACTTCTATATCATGTGTAATAGATTGTAAATTTTTAAATTGGCACTAGAATCATAAATGCAGGCATGTCTTTCCATAGGGTGGCATGCTTGGGTTCTCTGTGCCTACTTGGAATTAACAACTGATGGAGCTAGAGTCTTCCTGCTGCAAAAATTATATTTTATTCAGTCAGTCATGCATATACATATTTGTTGGTGTCCAAAATGACTACTTTCTTGTTTATATTATAACTGACAAATAGCTATAAAATTGCTTTGTCTTTGGGAAAGAAATTCATGCAAGATTGTGCTGTATTGTTGGTGTTACTACTTCTATCTTAACTCATTAGTCTTTATAGTATACTCTTAATTTTCAGAGATTCCTAATATAATTAGTAAAAAGAGCTACATGATTTTGAGAGCTTTATGATATAGCTCTTAAGTAATGAATAAAACTTTACTTTTTAACTCAATTTATTATTATGTACATTTTTATTTATTTTCATTTCATTTGAAAGGCAAAGAGGCCTTTTAAGGCTGTTCCATCTATTAGTTTACTCCCCAAATACCCATAACAGACAAGTTTGGATAAGGCTGAAGCCAAGAGTTGAAAATTCAGTCCAGGTCTCTCATGTAGGTGGCACAGACCCAGGTATCTGGGCTATCACCTGCTTCCTTTTCTTCTTGTAGTTCCAGAAAGCTGGAATTGGAAGCCAAGACTTGACTCAAGCCCCTGGATTCTGATTTGGATGTTTGCATGTTAATTACATCAATGGATACTTACCTCTGAACTGAAATTTTTAGTTTTGTATTTGTCCTTTTGCATCATACTCCCCTTGGTTTCTTGAAAAAGTAGTATTTAAAGTACATTTTTCATGAAACTTTTGATGTTCCTTTTCATATTACAAAATAGTGAACAATCTATTAAATTTATTAGCATTTCTGATGTTAAAAATTCTTTTACTTGAGACTTTTAAAATTTTTTTAGTGTCATAAATTGCTACTTTCAAACAGTACACTGTGAGTATATTATGTTTGATTATGGTATCTATTGCATGAATATGGGAGGCAGGTTTGTTAGCTTTTTCTTTGTTATGTTGGAAATGTAATGCTAATGAAGCCAAGGTTACAACTTCAACCTTCTTTTAAGCAGGTTTGTTTCTGTATTGCAAGTAAATTGTAAAATGACAACTTATATGTGAGATTCTGTCCTTTCCACAGGGTTTCCTATTACTGCTTAGAGAGGTCTTCATTCATCATTGTTGAGTAACTTTGCTTGGCTGTTTCTGAAAAACGTTGCTGTTTTTAAAGATTTATTTATTCATTTGAAAGACAGAGTTAAAGAGAGTGCAGTAAAGACAGTGGGATAGATCTTCCATGAACTGGTTCACTTCCTGGTTGGTTGCAACGGCTAGGGCTGGATTAGGTTGAAGCCAGGAGCCCAGAACTCCATATGGGTCTCCCACATGGGTGGCAGGAGCCCAGGTATATGAGCCATTTCCCACTGCTTTCCCAGGTGTGTAAATGGGGAGTTGGATTGGGAGTGTAGCAGCCAAAACCTGAACTTGTTGTGGGATGCTGGTATTGTAGGCAGAGACATAACCCACACACCATGACAGCTCTTTGTGCCTGTTATTTTGTGTGAACAGGGAAACCTTTTTTTCCATTATCTCAGCCATCAGACAATGATATACAGTGGTTTTCGTAAGAAGCATGAGTCAAATATTTGTAGAGTAATTTTGATCTGGTATAGTTCTTGAATATGTCATGATTCCATCTGCTGTTTTGCTTTAGCAGTCACCTCCTGCTTTTGATGAACTGGAGGTGCAATCTCAGGATCTTTGTAGTTCTTCTTGGAGCAAATGCTTCTCCCTGTACTCCAGTGTTACATTATATCTTTCCCATATGCCTATCAGTCAGTACACATTTAGATGTAAACAGGCATATATGGACAACCTTCATTTTTAAGGAATTGGATTTTGTCATTTTGGGGCTGGCAACTAAGAAATAGAACAGGCTGGCAGAATGTCCTAATGTCAGGTAAGATTGATGTTGCAATATTGAGGCAGGGATTTTCAGTGTCATATATCTTCATTCTGGAACTGAATGTTCTGGCTTAATTTTCTGTCGTGACTGTTCTATTTGTAAGGACACATTTAACACATTTATTTATTTGTTTATTTATTTACTTGAAATTCAGGGAGAGGGAGACAGAGTCTGCAATGACCAGGGCTGGGCAAGGCCAACGCCAGGAATCTTGAACTGTGTCTCTGACTCTGTGTGGGTGGCAGGTGTCCCAAGTACACTGGCCATCATCTCTGCCTTCCCAGAAGCATTAGTAGGAAGCTGAATTGAAGTGGAACAGCAGGGGTTCCAAACCCTTGTTCATATGAGATGTGGCATAGCAGGTGTGCAGCTTACCACCGTGCCGTAAGACTGCCTCTATATGTATTTTCCTTCTTATTTGAAGTAGTAGGGCGGAGGGTAGAGGGAGGAGTAAAGCATTTGGATAAGCTATTTTACTTGTTGCTTTTTGTTGGAACATATTCTTTTTTATGAGAATGAACAGGTTTTCTTTCCAGTTTTGAAGAAAGTTGATGGAGAGATTTTTATCTTCCAAGAAGCTATAAAACAACCGATTCTCTGACTTTGTTCTTCTTCAGTTCTGTTATTAGCTATTTTTGATATTTGGCTTTCTGTATGAACTTGAAAATCAGTTTGTCATTGTTCCCAAAACAAGTTGTTGAGTTTTTGTAAAATCTATCTCATGCTTGAAAAATAACCAAAAAGAAGTGTTGGGGAACTTCATAAGTTTATTAAGAAAATCTACCGAAAACTGTAGTGCACACTATACAACTGATAGGGGACTATTATCCAGGATCTACAAAGAGTAATCCAGGGACAGTAAAACAAACAACCCTGTGAAGAAATGGGCAAAGGAAATGAACAGACATTTTACAAAAGAACAAATTCAAATGGCTAACAGACATGTGAAAAGATGCTCAGGCTCCCTAGCCATCAGGGAGAAACAAATGAAAACCACACTGAGGTTCCACCTAACTCCAGTGTGGTTGGCTTACATTCAGAACTCTACTAACAACACCTGCTGGTAGGGATATGGGGAGAAAGCTACCCTCCTTCACTGATAGCGAGAGTGTAGGCTAGTACAATCACTATGGAATTCTGTATGGAGAGTGCTTAGAGAACTGCAAATAAATATGCCACATGACCCAGCTCTTGTTCCTAGGAATATATCCAGAGGAAATGAAAACTGCATATGAGAAAAGAATCTGTAATCCTATATTTGCAGCAGCACAATCTACAATAGCAAAGATATAGAAATAATCCAGATTTCTGTTAAAGCAACTGTGGTACATCTACTCCGTGGACTATTATTCAGCTATTAAAAATAATGAAATTATTCTATTTGCAACTAAATGATCCCAATTAGAGATCATTATGCTCAGTGAAATAAGTGAATCTCAAAAGGACAAATACCATATGTTCTCTCTATTATATGGCAATCTTAATGCAAATTATAAGATAAATAACCCTTACAATACTGTTTTTGGTATAACCCATGGGTTTTGATATTGTGTTTATTTTCATTTCTTCAAAATAGTTTCTTTTCTGTTATTAAGTTCTTCACTTACTTGTAGATCATGTAGTAGAATCATTTTCTCCAAGAAGCTTTTGTGTTTTCTTTTTCATTTCTTCATTGACACATTGGTTATTCAGTAGCATATCACTTAACTACATGGTGCTATAAATCTTTTGTTTTATCTTTATTCATGTTGTTGATTTTGTTTCATGGCTTTTCATTTAAGAAAATGTATAGTAACTGTGTAATAGAGACTTTCATATCCAGCAGTGAATGATACAATGCAGTATGCATTTCTACTTCCAAATCAGAGATTGATTCCCGATGAGACTGTTGGGTGTATCTTGAGAATAGGATGCTGAGCTGTCTGCCATTGTATGTACCAGCAGTGTCAGGACACACTTAAATAATGGAATGATGGACTTATGACTGCTTATGAAGTGCTATACTATTGTAATAATATGGAGGAAATTATTTGTGGGCAGGGAATATGGGGAGGGGACACAGGAAATCCCAGAGCATATGGAATTGTACCGTAAAATTAAAAATAAAACAGAAGGGGAAACACATCTTAATTATTAAAAAACTATATGTTTTTCTAGTGAACTCAGGAAAAATCCAAGGATGCCCACTCACTATTCCTTTTGGAGGTTTTAAACTAGTGTAATTATAGGATAAAAGGAAATTAAAGGTATATAAAGGGAAGAGAGAAATAAAAGTGTTAACTTTAAAATTTGTAAGGTTTTGTTTAGTTAATTTATTTTGAAGGTAGAGGCAAATGGCAAGATATTTTTCATTTCCCAAGTGTCCATAGTGGCTGGTGCTGGGCCAGACCAAGACCATGAGTCTGGAGTGCTATTGGGTTCTCCGATGTGGATAGCTAGGGCCCAAGTATTTTGACTTTCCCCTGAGTTTTTAGGCATACTAGCAGGGGGCTGGGTTGGAAACATAGCTGCCTGGACTTAAACCGATATGGGATTTTGTTGTTGTGAGTGGTGGTTTAAACTCCTGTGCCACAACATTGACTTCTTAAATTATATTTTAAATGGTACACCAAAATTAATTTTTTGCATAAATTGTGTTTGAGGTTAATGTAGTTTGGCTTTTGTTTCAGAATTGTCTTAAGTATACAGAAAAATTAAGCATTAAGTATATCCCCTTAGTTTTTCCCCAAGCTTCCTCCTTTTGTGTACCTGTCTTAATCACTCTTGCGCTATTATTGCTGAGCCTATATTGCTACAACTAGCAAACATAGCTTATATGCTTATATTAGCTGTGTATTTTTTCCAACCCCATACCCCTGAATGTCAGAGGGTTCCATGGTCATGCCTAACTCAGGCTGTTAATACCCCCAGCTCCCCTTTTTCTTTTAAAGATTGATTTATTTTCCTTGGACAGTCAGATATACAGAGAGGAAGGGGGACAGAGAGGAAGATCTTCTGTCCATTTATTCACTCCCAAGCGGCTGCAATGGTTGAAGGTGTGCTTATCTGAAGCCAGGAACCCGGAGCCTCTTCTGGGTCTCCCACATGGGTGCAGGGTCCCAAGGATTTGGGCTGTCCTTGACTGCTTTTCCAGGCCACAAGCAGGGAGCTGGATGGGAATTGTGGCTGTCGGGATTAGAACCAGTGCCCAAATTGGATCCCTGTGTGTGCAAGGCGATGACTTTAGTCACTAGCTTACCATGCCAGGCCTTTTGAATGGAGAAAGTAAAAAAAAAAAATGGTATGAAATATAGATTGTTTAGGTCTTCAGAATTACACCTACATTTTGTAGCTTAGGCCTGAATTTAAGACACACTTGATTGAGAATTTGAGAGTTTTAGGTTAGTGTAGTTATTATTTTTTGTTTAGTAGTTCCAAATGTACTTCATTTATATGAAAATGTTTAGTGGTTTCTTGTTGGTGCTTGTTTTCTGTATTTTAGAACATTTTTCCTTTGAGGAAATCTAGTTTAAATGTTTTGTAATATAGTTCATAATTATTTAATTTTACCTTTTCATTTTCAACATATGAAGAATTTTTTGAAATTGGCTCTTTAAGTAGTTGTAATCCACCCGCTTCATTGAAATTAATTAACCATGAAAATTCCATACCTTCGGCTATTGTAAATATATCAAAATGAGGAGTTTTCCCTCCCTTTTAAAATCTTAATAACTTCCTTTATTGGGTATAGGTCAGATGTACCATAGGTTCTGAAAATTTTTTTCAGCTCTGCATTTTACTGTGAAACAAGTTACTTCAGTATAGAAAAGGTCTGTTGAAGACAGTTTGTGTTTCTTTCCATCTTATGCATTTTGATGCAAAAACAAAGAGTGCTTTGTTTTCATAACCATCTAATAACACAGATGGCTTCATTTCTTTTTCTTTTCTTTTTTTTTTTTTTTAACAACCTATGGTCTTCACTTATACTAAGTAGATTGAATTTTTCTTTTTTTTTTTTTAAGACTTCAGAACTTCTTCAAGGGATTTTCTTCTTTTTAAAGTATTAGGTTTATCTTTAAAATTAAAGCTCTGTGTTTAAGCGTCAGACATACAGTGATAAAAATGTTAATTGGAGTTAGTGTTGTACCATCGCAGGTTAAGGCACAGCCTGTGATGCTTGTGTTGTATAAGCCCAGCTGCTCGACTTCTGATCCAGTTTCCTGCTGATGTGCCTGGGACAGCAAAGGAAGGTGATCAAAATACCTGGGCTCCTGCTACCCATAGAGGAGACCTGATGAAACTCCTGGATCCCTCCTGTCCTTGCCATAGCCATTCCTGGCTGTTGCAGCCATTTGCAGAGGAACCAATGGATATAAGTTCATTCTCTCTCTCTCTTTCTCTTCCTCTCTCTCTTTCTCGCTCTCTTGTATTCTGCCATTCAAATAGATAAAATCTTTTCAAATCTTTACATTTGAGTTCTGTAGATATCAAATGAAGCCTGCATTATAGCTGCAACTTTCTTGTAGCACTGTTCTCTACTCTATTTGTGTGATTTTTAACAGAATAGAAATTAAACACTTGTTTATTTCTGTGTAACATGATATGGGGAATGTGTATGGAATTTCTGGAAAGACTTTGTTATTTTGCATATGTGGAAAATTTAGGATTGTCTTGCTCTGCCCCTTGGAAATAGTTGATTTTTCAAAGGAGAAATTGGAGAACAATGTATAGGTTGGACATACTTGCAATTGGGTTATGGTGTGTTGAAGTATGGTGACTCTTATGAAAACCTGAATTTGTGAATTATCTTTATATTGTTATCTAGGAGTGTTTTCCCCTCACATTTAGATAGCATTTTAAGTTTTTTTTAGATTTATTTATTTTTATTGCAAAGTCAGAAATACAGAGAGGAGGAGAGGCAGAGAGGAAGATCTGTCCGATGATTCACTCCTCAAGTAGCCACAAAGGCTGGTGCTGTGCTGATCCGAAGCCAGGAGCCAGGAACTTCTTTCCCTGTCTCCTACGTGGGTGCAGGGTCCCAAAGCTCTGGGCCGTCCTCAGCTGCTTTCCCAGGCCACAAGTAGGGAGCTGGAAGGGAAGTGGGGCCGCAGGGATTAGAACCGCACTCACATGGGATCCTGGTGTGCTCAAGGCGAGGACCCTAGCCACTAGGCCTCGGTGCCAGGCCCCAGCATTTTAAGTTTTGCCCAATCTTGATCAGTTACCTATAAACTTAACTTTCAAAACATTTGTTCTGTTTACTGAAGTCTTGTTGAATAGTGTCTTAATTTTAACATGGGATGAATAAAGTGCCAGTAAAGTGGTTGAACTTCTGTTTCATATATTGTAGCCTAAACAGGTCTCTAAATGAAGGTGACAGGTTGATATTTTCATCTCCTAGGTGCTTAGCAAAATGTTGTGTTTAATTATTATTTATTGATTCCTTACCATTAGAAGACTGCAATAACTTATTGGAAATATTTAGAAATTTTTTTGCCTCATTTCACTTTAAAAAGTTGTTACAGTCCATGAAATTATGTGGTGAAACTAGATGAGAGGGCTGAGGGTGGGAAGGACAGTGAATTACATGTTTGGAGTATTGGGTATAGGAGTATAGGGCTGTGGGTCCAATTATTATAGTTTTGCCTTTTAAAGCTCTCTCTAGAAAGAAAGGAACTCACTGTGAACTTTCATATAAGCATGGCCTTTCTAACCCTTGGGCTGTCAGTTGTTGTTGGTTCATTTACAAGTTGTGTTTTAGTTGTAGCTTGATTAGTTTTTTCAATTGTAAAAGGATAATTCATGCTGAATCTGCATTTTTCTAATGTGGCAATGATCATAGTGACACACCCTATTTAAATTAATTTGTTGAATTATATTAACTGACATTCTGTAGCAGTAGTAGGATTATTCTATAGTAAATCCATCTTGTGTTCCTGGGATGAAGTTTATCTGGTTTAATATTGCTGAATTTGATTTGTTAATGCTTTGCTAATGAGTTTTATATTCTTGCGATATATTTAGTTTTTGGATGGGTGTTACTGGCCTCATAAAATAAGCTGAAAGAAGGCTTTTTCTTTTTTACCGTATAGGTTTGTGTATATCATGGGTGAAATTCCTTGGGTGAATGATGGATATGATTTATGAATAAAGATGTTTTGAGGATTTCTTTTCTTGAAGTGCTGAAATTAGTTTTCATTATATTAAAATGTTTTTAGATGTATTTTGGTAGTGTCTAAGTGTTAAAGGATTTATCTGTGTCTTGTATTTTATTCTTTCAATTCTTTTCTTTTTTACTGATTTTTTTCCCCTGCTGCTCTCCCTGAGACCATAATTTGTTTTTAGTAAACACTGTCCATTAATACACACAGTTATTCCCACAGAATAGTCAATGACACTTATGTCTAGAAAACAGTTGACAGTTAAAAAAAACTTACTAGTTTTCAGGTCCTTTAGTAATTTAATGTTCTCTGTGCCAGACCTTCAAGTATTCAGGTCTTGCTTGATATGCCCTGGTGGTAACACTGAACCTGCTACATAATGGAAACCTCGTACACACCAAAATTCAGTAACTTCAGTGCTTACTTACCTTTGCACACCTAGCTTATCTTGCTTTTAACAGGGATTTGATTTTTCCCTACAAAGAATGGATTAGTCTCACAATAGTAAGCAAACAGTATTTGCAAATGCCCTCTGCCTTTTCGTCTCTCTGCTATCATGAGAACAAGTTGGGTCATCAGCAACTCTATAGGAATTACTCATGAAAATTTGGCCTGGATTCCTGCTTTTGCCAAGTGTGTTTGAACTGGCATGTTCTGATCTGGAAATACAGCCTGAACATGTGCTGCCAGTGTTTTCACCAGTATGCCAAGGATATCGGCTTCATCAAGTTGGATTAAGTAATTTTCTTTGAATGGATGCTCCAAGACATTGATACTTTGGGAAATCATGATAGCTGCTTGTACATGAAATAAACAACTTCAATTAAAAACAAAAAGCCTTCTGAGCCTATTTTGCTTCTTTAAAACAAGAAAATTGGATTTGATTGTCACAGGGCAAACCATCCTGTGGATGAGTGTATAGCATCTGTACTGCAGATCTCAGCAGCGTGGACGGGGAGGGTCCAGGGCTGCCAGTATGTGTTTGAGAGGGTCAGTGGGCCAGAGTTGTAGCATTTAAGAGGCCAAGATCAGAACTAAATCTTCAAGCCTTGAGAACAGGTCTTTGTATTTTGACCTGATTATTTGATCTATAATGGTTTTCTCATCCATTGCAACATGTGTACTTACTGTAAATTTATGTACAGAACTAAATATTCCTTTAGTTAGTTTGGAAACCATAATAGAACAAGTCATTTTCCTTCAGTGTATCTTGCCTTGGAAAAGGAGAACAAATCAGTATACAAACTTTAGGATAGCTTGAAATTTTGTGAAACTAAAATAGAGTCATAATTTATTTTGGAATTCAATGGCAATTTCAAGGATTCAGTTACCATAATCATAGAGACAACAAATGTGAGATGTTTGTCATGCATAACTGTTATTCAGAAGTGGGAAAGGTTCAATGGCAGATTCCAGCCCATGATGTAGGCCTTTGAAAGATTTTTTTTTTTTTATAAATAATACTCTTGGAGATGTCTACCTCACAACCCGGGAGCCGAATGTTTATAAAGTAAGCAGTCAACAGGTGGACAGACAGGGGCCCTCTTGGTGTCAGTGGTGCATAAGCTCACAGAGAAGTGAAATGCCCCTAACCTTCGCTGGTCATAGGTTTATAAAATGTAAGCTGTGAAGAGGCGAAATGGCAAAAATAAAACTGAAACCAGGAATGAAGCATAAATTACATCACTTCCTTTCTGAAGAATGAAGCATGTGTCAAGAGGAGATACCAGGCAAATCCTCGACCCTAGTGTTGCTTCTTTTCCTCAGGTATGAGCGAGAGGCGGGGACAGTGTTGAAGAAAGAAGGTGGCTTCTCCTGAAGTCTCTGCAAGTCAAGTTACCATCTTTTCATGATGTCAGCAAAGACTGAAATGATCAGCTGACCCTCCACATACTGGAGTTCTCACCAGAGGACTTGAAGTTTGCAGTAAAATGGAATTAAAAAATAATGCACATTTTCTGCATTGTTTTGGAAGACCTTTTGCATATCATTTGTGATGTGATTGTACAGCAATCTAATCTTCTTTTAAAGATTTGTGTGTCCACTGAGAGAGAAGAGAGAGATGTGATATATTTGTTCGATCTGCTGCTGTACTCCCCAGTTGACTGCCAGCATTGGGCCAGGCCAGAGCTAGGAGGCAGGAGCTTCATCTCAATATTCCACATAATCAGCAAGGACTTAAACACTTGGGCTGTCTTTGCTGCTATTCCAAGGTCATTAGCAGGAAGCTGGATTAGAAATGGAGCAGTTGGGACACAAATTGACACCCAGCATCTTAGACAGCAGCTTTACCTGCTGTACCATATTGCCAGTCCTCAAACTTCCTCTTGGGGGGAAGAATTAGAGCAAAGCAAAGCAAATCCTGGCTTGGTTCTTTTCCCATTTCTGCCCTTAACCAGGGCGTAGTTCAGATATGAGGCAGCACAGAAAGAAGTTACAGACTCTAGACATTGAAGTCCTATTAATTATGCCAAACACTGGATTGATATTCTTGAATTATTATTATTGAGTAATTTGACAGTAACTGTGGTTTTTGAAAGAAGTGTTTTAGAATCCCTCATTGATTCCTGCCAAACATTGTGCTGCATCAGACAAGCAGCTGTGGTAAAAACAAGACCATTTCTGAGCCGTGAACCACTCCTCATGCATCTCCTGGTAAAAACTCAGACATGAAAACACAACAACTTCAAAATTTTCCTAGAACAGTGTAAGGTCTAACATCTTGCCAGCTCATCACAGAAATGGAAACTAATGTAAAAAGACAGTGAATTCAACAGAAATGATTTTGAACACTGATCATGGGTTCCTAAAGAGCCCCTCTCAACCTCAAGAAGTGAGGTACACTGTTCTGGCACTAGAAGAAAAAGGCATAGGCAAGAGAGCAGTTGCTCCCTACCTTCTGGATCTGGTGGAAATCAGCATCCTCTTGTATGTCTGTGGAAAATGTGATGGTTTTGTACTTGGGGACAGTTGCCAGTGACTGCAAACAACCCTGGGGATGAGAGTGGAAAGCATGTTTCATAGCAGGTAGTATCGTGAAGAACAGGTTAGTCCTGGACACATCTAAGCATTTTAAGATGAAGCAGTTAATCTGTCATTCTCAGGTGTAGCCCACCAATCCTTCCCTTGTCCTTGCCAACAAACCAACTCTTTCCATCTTCCAGGTCTGTCTCTACTACAGTGCTGCCTCCCAAATAGGGTTCCACATGGGGCTATCTGCAGAGCTGAATGAGAAACTGCAGTGCGTTGCTTGGGGAACAATTCCTTACAGAAAGGTAAAACTTGGCCAAGCTCATCATAGGGACAGGCCTCTGATGATGGACTCTTGAGAGAAAGTTTATGATACTAGTCTTTGTGTTTAGACAGTCCATGGCCTGAGGTCATTTACCCAGCAGGTGTGTCCTCCTGCTGCTGATAGGACACTGGGAACCACAGAGACTAGATGGTACTTGCTACACTTTACCCTCAGCATGGCTGTACTTTCAGGTTTTCTCATCCGTTTGTAATTGCACTATAGGTTGGGGGAAGAAGCTGTTGCAGGGCCTCACTCTGTTTGCTGGCCTCTACACACCATATTAGTTCAGAGTGTGTGAGTTTGGATAGCTCTGCTCTCTGGATGATGTTAGTGGTTATGCTTATAGTCCTGTCCTTTGGGAAGAAGAGGCCATGGTAGGACTTCTCATCCATGTTCAACATATGTTCTGGTGTTGCTTCTTGCTGGGGTCTCTTCTGGTGACAGGGAGGAGATATTTTGAAGTCTGCTCATGTTTGGACTTGCACAGGAAGACCTGCCTACCCCTCTGCAGCTCCAGGATGGCCATCATGCTCAGGACGTTGGTACTGGGTGATTGGATTGCACAGCATAAGGGACAGGGTGATGACCATGGTTTTGTTGGTGGCATTGTTGATTAAGTAGTTCAAGGGGTTATGAGATTGAGGATGCTGAAGGCATTGATGACCAGGAACTGCAGTGTTCATGTCTCTGGAATATGCACTTCAAGTTAGTGCTACCTAGGAAAGTTGAGAGGTTCACTAGGATCTAGTAGGGGATCATAAAAATGATGATGTATAGTCCAGGATGTTCAGAAGCATGGGGTAGTGGACCCATGAATCTAATATCTACTTGGAGAATATGTTCTGAAGTTAGAAGTAGAGTGTGGCAGTGAGAAAACTGGCAAAAAACAGTGGCCAGTAGGATGCCACTGATAACGGGATTGAGTGGCAAGTACAGCTGTGCTTTGCTTCTCTTTCATGGTCACTGGGGATAAAGGACCCTCAAGAAGGGCTTCATGGTTTTGGCTTTTTGGCCACGTTATTGCCCATGTTCAGTGTATCTCATAGCAGGCACAGAACTGTCACTCATGTGCCTTTGTGTCTGTGCATTCATGCCTGCTCTTGCCATCCTGCACAAGCTGCTGTCCTAGTTTATTACTTTCTTGGAGTATTTTAATCAGTTCTCTCTGTCTTTGTTGAGCTTTTCATTTCCTAATTTCTTCATCTTTCCTTGTGGAAAGAAGATAGAATCTGATTATAATACCAATTTTTATTTCCCATGCTGTGCTGTGGTGGGTAAAGCTGCCTGCTGGCATCCCATATGAATAACAGTTTTATTTAGGCTACACCATATCTTTTTTATTTGTCATGATATAATTTTCTAAGTTCAGGGGTTCCCTCTCCCTCTACATCCCTCCCCACCTAAACTGTTTCAACCCACACCATAACAATAGTACATTCCTTCAAAACAGTCACAAGTTCATCATTATTCTATTTATGTGTCATGACATTGTCGGTATAGAAAATGGTAGAAAGTCCAGCATCCCATTGTCAAAATAACATTTAACTGTTTCATTGGGAGTCCATTCTTTACTCAGAAGTAGAGATGCATACTGGATTGCTTCCTTATTTCACTGTATACTTGCCTTCATTATACAGTTCCTCTAGATAAATATATACATGTTTACCTGTATATCTGTTGTATTTTGTATGAAGGTTGCTTGGGGTTTCTATTCTTTTCCATTGAATCTGACCTGGCTCAGGTACTTCCAGCAATTCCACGTGCTGATAGCTCCCAGCACCCAAGCCCTGAGGTTGAACTCAGAACCAGCTCTTTGATTCATTGATACTATGTATTGTTCTTTCGGTATCTATTTTATACCACTTTTGATCCAGCTTTCTATTGATGTGCCTGGGAAAGCAGGGAAAGATGACTCAAAATCTTGGGCTCCTGCCACCTGTGCAGGAGACCTGGAAGAAGCTCTGGGCTGTTGGCTTTGGCCTGGCCCAGCCCTGGCTGTTCTGGCAATTTGGGGAGTCGAGCAGTGCAATGAAAATACTCTATGTGTGGCTCTGCTTTTCGAATAAATAAATCTTAAAAAAAATACCAATTTTTGTCTTAGATTTAATTCAACTGATACATTTAATATTTTTAATGATACTGTTGTTCTTTTTTTCACTTTTTCCATTTCTTATTATATTTTTGACAATCTTTACATGGTTAATTAGGGTAAAAAGGTTCAAGGGCTATAGGAAAGTGGGTAAAACTGTTATTTCCATATTGTTTCCTTCATGTATCTGAGGTAAAGGGGGATATTAAGGGAGAAGCCCCACCCAGTCTCCCACCCACCCCAGGTCCCTGATGTGGGGCGTGCTCCGAGGTTCTTGCTCAGGTGGTTTTGATAGTTCAACAGTTATGAATTGCTGCTAATCTTGCCACTCCAAGCATGATGAGGTCGTTAGAGAATCTGATTGACATAGTCTATCTTAGAGTCTCCGTTTGCCAAGTTTTTTTACTGCCACCATATTGGTACTGTTATTCTTTTAAAAAACACAGATGACATTAGTATTCCAAGTCAGTGTTAGTGATCTCAATGAATCAGTGTACTAATTCTGTATGTATTGCAGTGTTGTCTGTGTGCACTTGTCTACTTGCAGTTTTGTATTACTGAGTTTTATACATTTACAGTCAGGTTTGCAGCAAGTAGTGACTGTTTTGTTTCTTCCTTGTAGTAATTGTTTCCTTGACTTATGGTAATAATGGACATTCTTTTCTATTTCTCAATTTTAGGGTTGTGGACCTTTAAATATTTTATAGTTATATAAAGTTATATAAAATATAATTGCAGTGAATATTATTAGTTTTGATAGTTTAATGTTTCTTATTTTGAGTAGTCTGTTAAATTTATCAGGTGCTTTATTCATCTCCTAATGTAATTATGATTTTTCTTCTGCATGGTGTTACCTAGTTGGGTGATGTTTTTCCCCTAAATTTGCGTTGCTAAGATAGGTTGATCGAAATACATCGTAAATATTTTTTTTCTAAAGAAAGTTTTAAACCAACTATAATACAAATAAGGGGTTTTTAATATTAGTTTAATAAGAACATATGGAGTATTGATTTCTCTCATTTTTAAAAGTAATGGCAATTTTCTTCTTTTAGCACAAGCCCACCATACTGCTGTGTGGATCTTTATTCTCTTCGTACTGGTGAGATGGTGAAGTCCATTCAGTTTAAAACACCCATTTATGATCTCCACTGCAATAAGCGGTAAGCATTGTGTTTGTTTGTTTGATTTTAATGAAAGGTAGCTTACCTACTTGACATCAAGAGCTCTACTCGTTTCATTTACTGGATTTACTTAGAAAGTAATTATAAGGGAATATCTTAAAGATTGTGCCCATGAAATAGCTCTAAGACATCAGTGTATATACTCTTGATCCATTAGAGAAATGTGAATTCTCTATAGTGAAATTTTTATTGCATAAATTATTTTGCTCTGGAAGCAGAGCTGGATCAGGGGAAAAAAAATGTATTCACGGATTGAAAGACACAATTAAAAGGCTGAAGATATGAGTCATGGGAGTCACAGAAGATATAAAACGTGACAATTTTAAAATGTAGTTAATGAAATATTAAGGGAAAATTTCCTTAGTCTAGAGAAAGAATTGGGAAACAACATCCAGACGGGCACAGAACTCTCAAGATTGACCAAAAGCAATCTTCACTATGACACATGATCACATGATCTTCAAGCTTTCTTCAATCAAACATAAAGAAAAGATCCTTAATTGTTCACATGGGAAAAAACAAATGCCAGTTAAACTCACAGGAGACCTCACAGGAAACTCTACAAGCCAGAAGAGAATGGCCTGCAAGTGAGCTCAGTTTTGGAGAGGGCTGAGCTAGGCCAGGCCACCACATACACTGTTGCATGCAAGAGCCACAATAAGTACTGACAGGTCTGGCTTTGCTGTACTGTCAACTGGTAACTGCCGGAGCTGATGCAAGTCCTATCAGACCAGGCTGCAGTACTGCCTGGAAAGTGCAAGACCTGGGGCTTGGGAGTGTGCCTTGTAGGGAAACTGTTCTAATGAACTATGGCTCCCACCAGTGAGCTAGGAGTGGGCCTAGCTGGACAGGCCATAGCACCCACAGCTTTAAGTGTGGGATGGATAGTAGGGTTGGTTAGGCTGAGCTAGGCTATTAAATGCATTGGTGTACACGAGAGCCAATTGGGGTGTGTGATGGACTGGACCAGTCTGCTGCAGGTACCAGCATGTTCAGGAACTGGGTCTGGGGGTGGGTCTGGTGGGGGTTAATGGAGTTGCTCTGACTAGGCTGCAGGTCTTTCTGATATGCATGAGGGTCAAGTGTGTGGTTGGCAGGGTTAGGCTGAACTGCATCATCCATTGTTCTCTTGACAGTGAAGAGGAATAGTGCCCACCCAAACCAAAGGCAAATGCGAAGAACATTCCAGTCAAATAACAACAGAAGACTAAATCAGTGAACAACCCATTGCTAAATGACAGAACCAAATTGCCACCTATTTGTATTAACTCTGAACGTAAACAGCTTAATCTTATCAATCAAACATAGATTAGGAGACTGGATTTAAAAACAAAACTCATCTATCTGTTGTCTACAGGAGACACATTTCACCAACAAAGATCAGCGGAAACTAAATCTCATGGATTTTGATTTTTTTTGTTAGTTTCATATCTTCAAAACATTTCTTTGTTTTTTTAGATGGATTTATTTTTATTACAAAGTCAGATAGACAGAGAGGAGGAGAGACAGGGAGGAAGATCTTCTGTCCGATGATTCACTCCCCAAGTGACCGCAACGGCCGGTGCAGTGCCGATCCGAAGCCAGGAACCAGGAACCTCTTCCTGGTCTCCCACGCAGGTGCAGGGTCCCAAGGCTTTGGGCTGTCCTCAACTGCTTTCCCAGACCACAAGCAGGGAGCTGGATGGGAAGTGGAGCTGCCAGGATTAGAACCAGCTCCCACATGGGATCCTGGTACGCTCAAGGCGAAGACTTTAGCTGCTAGGCCACAGCGCCTGGTCCTTTAAAACACTTTCTTCTGATTAAATTCTTCACTGAATCATAGATCAAGCGGTAACATCATTTTCTTCAAGAAGGTTCTTGATTTTTTTTTCATTTCTTCAGGGACACATTAATCATTCTGTAGCATTATTTAATTTCTTGGCGTTGTAAATTTCTGTTTTTCTTCCTGTTGTTGATTTTGTATTGTGGCTTTTCATCTAAGGGGGTGTGTAGTAACTGTGTAATAGAGACTGTCATATCCAGATTGAGGATACAGCACAGTGGGCATCTCTACTTTCAGATAAAAGATGGATTCCCAGTGAAACTGTTTACTATATACTATATCTTCACAATATGATGCTGGACTTTCTGCCGTTGTCCATGCCCACAATGATGGACATATGACTCTTTAAGAACATCTATACTATAGTAATGATATAGGGGAACTCAGTAAGGGTGGAGGGAATTGGGGTTGGGATAAGGGAAATCCCAGGGTCTGTGGAACTGTATCATAATATGATAATAATAAAAAGAAATAAAATTTAAAAAAATGTTCAGTGTAAATTTTGAAAAAACATGTTTGTAAATGAAATGCCTTAATGTATTTATGTTCCATAATGCTTCATAATGGAACTAAAACAGGGCCCAGATTTCTTTCCCCCCCTTTAATTTTATTTCATTGGTGCTGACATGGTGTGTGGCAGATAAAGCTACCATGTGTGAACCTGGCATTTCGTGTTGGTTCTGGTTTGAGTCCTGGGCTGTTGCCCTCTGATCCAGTTACCTGCTAATGCAACTGGAAAAGCAGAAGTTGTGGACTCCTGTGCTCACATGAGAGACCCAGAAGGTTGGGTTCCTGTTTTTTTCCTGGCCCAGCCCTTGCTATTGTGGCAGTTTAGGGAGTGAATCACAGATCTGTGTGTGTCTTTCTTTCCCTGTTGAATAAATTCAAATGAAACAAATATTTGATTTTATTTTGAAGAATTGCTTTGGAGATTCATATAAATGCAAACATGAGAACATATATTCTCATATTAATAATGGAAAGAGTTGTTCAAGTACAAAATTACAAAAATCACAAAATAAGAAATTCTCAATATATTGCTGGAATGTTATAATTAACCTTGAAACATTGGCTAAAATGACACAATATTGTAGAATAGTTAGATTCTGAAGATAATATATATATATGAATATATATCTGTCAAGCAACTTTGTGTAGTTAGAAACTAGATTACATAGCATAAATAGCAAAAAGAAGCTAAAACACATTTCACAAGGAAGACTACAGGGATAATTTTATTTCATAGTTTCTTGGCAGAAACTATGTGCAGAAATATGGCACCAATTAAAAACAAAAAGTGTTTAAAATAAAATGATTATTCAGTTTGAGTAAATTAGCATGATTATTTTGTATCATTCAAGAACTAATACCAAATTACTTATGTGTTCCTTGATTGAGAGCTTAGTCAACAAGAGTTTCTTGTTACTTACTGGTAACTATAGCTATATTTATCACTTGTTCATCATTCCCAAAGAGAATACTAATCAATAAAAGTAGCATGTAAAATCACCTGTAGCTCACGCTTAGTTCATATGCTAGAGTGAATAATATAATTTGAACATTTTTTTTAAAAAAGGTTTATTTATTTTTATTAGAAAGGCAGATACACAGTGATAAGGAGAAACAGAGAAAGATCTTCTGTCTGCTGATTCACTCCCCAAGTGGCCACAGTGGCCAGAGATAAGCCAATTCGAAGCTAGGAGCCAGGAATTTCTGGGTCTCCCACGCAGGTGCAGGGTCCCAAGGCTTTAGACTGTCTTCCACTGTTTTTCCAGGCCATAAGCAGGGAGCTAGAAGGGAAGTAGAGCAGCCAGGATACAAACTGAGGCCTCTATGGGATCTTGGCAGATGCAAGGTGAGGGTTTTAGCCACTAGGCTATCACGTGTGCCCTTATAATTTGAACTTTTTCCCTAGTTCATTCATGAGCCTATTCCAAGGTAATGTGGCTGAAGCTTAGGGTACGTGAAAGGGCAGTCTGTTGCGGATTTATTGGTGCAGACAGGACAATAATGACTTATTCTGTGAACAAGTCATAGAAGACAGAGGGTCGGTAAGCCATTAGAACTGTAGTTGATGAAAGCACTAATGAGTCAGAAAGGTGTTGCAAATTGAGCAGGGAAATGATGTGGCCTTAAAACCTTTGCTGGTGGTGTGGCAGATAGTTTTAAGGAGAATGTTTTTCCAAGTGAGTTAATACAATAAAAGAAAGGTATAGAGAACGCAAGGGCAACATTGACTCCAAGATTGATTGCTCCTTCATCCTAATTGTTGACACTATTTCCAGGTAGTACTGGTCTTACCATTGTGTTTTTCTTTATCATATGAGTGGGAGGGTACATATATTTTTTTGAGGATTATTTTTATTTGAAAGGCCGATTTCACAGAGAGAGACGATATCTTCCATCTAAAAAAGAGATATCTTCCATCGATTAAAGCACTCCCCAAATGGCTGCATTGGCCACAGCTAAGCTGATCTGAAGCTGGTAGCTAGAACTTCTTGGTCTTCCACATAAGTGCAGGGTCCAGTGACTTGGGCCATCTTCCGATGCTTTCCTAGGCTATAAGCAGGGAGCTGGATGAAAACTGGAGCAGCTGGGAAACAAATTGGTGGGATGCTGGCGCAGAAGGTGGAGGATTAGCTTGCTGTGCAACCATGCTAGGCCTAAGGGTACAGATAATTTGAATTTTTAATTCACAACTTGAAGAATGTGAGTAACTATATCTCTTCATTTGGAAATTTATTCCTATGGAACCTCATCTGTAACCAGACCTAATTTACATGAGAAAGCTCCATGCTGATGCAGTAAAGCACGGAGGTAAGAGAGAATATATATAGAGAATGTCAGTAATTTACTAATTTCAATAGAAATTCAAGCAAAGTGATTGTGGTAGATTTTTAGTAGTATAAGGTTCTTTCCTACTGTTTAGTCCAACCAGAACTTAGTTTTCCCCACCTTGAGTATGGACTGGACATAAAGTAGAAATGCTCAGCAACTCAGATACACAAAGCCATAAAAACAAAGCTACTTTCTCTTTGGCATTAAGTTGTAGTCTAAGAAAGTGAGTATAATTTCAAAAGAAAAGGTTTTAATGATTGTATAGTGCAACCCAGAAGACCCCGTTTCAACTGAAATGGGGAAGAGAAAAGTAAAAGAAAATCACCAAACACATTTTGGATGTATTGAATGAAAAATTAAATGGAGAACTATGATTGCAAGTCAGAACAGTAGAAATTATACAGTTTGAAAAGATCAGACTAGAAAATTAATAAAAAGAAAGTGATCAGAGTGCTACCTGTCTGTTGGATAGTATCAGAAGACTCAAGAAGAATAATTTCTTCAATTATTTGAAGAAATAATCAGTGAGTTTCCAAGTTCATGACTGAGAAACACTGTGGAGGACAAATAAATATCAAAACTCCCTAAAACACCCTAGTCTGTTAGGTGAAAATTAAAGGTTAAGAGGAATGCTTGATGGCATGTGGAGAAGAGAAGTTCATTTTGTGTAGGGGAATAGTAATTTAAAGTACTCTGGAGTTTGGAGCACACCAAAGACTCAAAATCTGAGTAATGAGCTCACTAAAGTGAATGCCCCCTTATATAAACAAAAGCAAAAACTGTAAGTTAGGACAGACATTCCCTAAACTTAAATAACATGTGCCATGCCATTTGTTTGGTTCTATTTACTCTTAATGATGGGGTGTATGCTTTCTTTTTTTTTTCCTGCTTTATTTTCAGATATTTTGTGTCTAAAGTAGCTTATAAAGGAACAGTACAAACCTATTTATGAATCTGACATTACTACTTCTATAATGATACATTAAGTGAGTCTTTAAATGAAGTATCATATAGGGGAAATGCATTTGGTCTCTGTTTTAATAAGAAAATGGAAAGGGCGCTTGTTGATGTTTCTAATCTTCTTTTATAAGGGTAATACTACTAAAAGATACGTAAACACATATAGAAAATTGTTATTTAGTAATCTGGTTAGCAAATAAAGAAAAAAATTTTGAAACATTTTTGGTTTTGAATTTTATGCTACAATTCCATATTGTCTGGGCTTCTCCCCCTCAACTCTCACCCCCTGAGAAAAAATTTTTTGTGGATTTACCCAAAATAGAGAAAAAAAAACATTAGGGCAAAATAATATCCATACATTAAAATTGTTACTCATTAGGATAGTATAGATACATTGGAATTGCTAGTCATTAGCAAAGAAAATTTTTGCATTTATTGAATGAACAAAATGATTAGAGCATACCTACTGTAAGTACATATGTCTTTCTCCCATCCATTATTAGCATCTGGTGTGGAGTATAGTATGGTAATTATTTAGTAAAAATCAAAACTTGTTACTTGTTTTTTTTCAATTAACATTAATACCCTCTGAGTGTAAGTATATTATAAGGGCATAGTTTTCTAAATGATTTTAGTGGTTGCTTATAGATCTTTGCATTTGCAAAAGTACTGTTTGTGTAAATTATTATAACTTTTCATATATTGAGTCAATAAGAAATGAATCATTTATATGGAATTCCTGTTTCTCTTAGATTGCTTTGATCTGTTTTGGAATATTCAGTGAACATTTGTATATGACAATGTAAATTCATTTTGTATTTCATTTCATGACTTTGAGCATCACTGAAAAAATACTTCTGAGCATGGAGTTTATGTTTATTGATCCATTTCTATTATGAATGTGTTCAATCTATGAAGAAAGAAAAATACAACTTTAAAATTGTGAAGTGGGAACTACTTGTTTTGTTTTTCTTTTAGTCATCTCTATTTTGTTTATATAAAGGATTGCATTGTTTTGTTTTTATATTTTGAGAGGCAGATATTTCTAGCATAAATATTATGAGAGGTGTTTATCTGTAAATGTAGGTGATTTAACTTACATGTCTGAATTCACAGATAATCATATTTACTTTTTTCTTTTTTACTCTTTCCTATGATTTTAGGATCCTTGTCGTAGTCTTGCAGGAGAAAATTGCTGCCTTTGATAGCTGCACTTTCACAAAAAAATTTTTTGTTACAAGTATGTACCAAATTGCTTTATTTCCTGTCATGTTCATTTGGGTTTATGCTACATAAATGTTACAGTCAGTAAACTATTTGTTATTATGACATCAGCATTTCATGGGTTTTCATTAATCATGAATTTTATGATTCTCTCGGTGAATTCTTTATGATTCTCATTTGTTTGTATGATTTTATGATATGCATTTTCAATTTTTCGCTCCATTTCGTTGGTATTACTGAACAGTCTTTGTTTTGCATTGTTGTAGTTGTTATTTTAGTATTTAAAGTTATCTTGCTTCCTTAAATGACTGTTAAATTAGGAAAATATTCAAATATAGTGTACTTGATGCAAAATAGATTTGATGATATAACCCCTCTTTAAACATTAAAATCTGCTAGACTGTAAGTTGAAAATGGTATCACATTTCTCAGTTGTGTCACTTTTGTTTTATAATACATGAGAAGTTATAAAGTCAGTTGTAGTAGTATTCAAAGAGAGTTTAACAAGTAGATATTTATCTTGTAGAGACTATGTATATTTTTTGTGGATTATTGAAAATATGCATTCTAGTGATAACTTCAGGAGTTTAAAAATATGTTTGTTTCATTATAGAGGGAACATTTAAAGTATTTAGATTTGTATATTAGCTCTGTAGGAATATTTGAAGTAGATAACCTTTTAAATGCTCTATTTTATTTATAGAACAGTACCTTTTAAAGCCTGGACTATTATAATAGCTTTTATTTATTTTCTTTATGATAACTTTTAAATTAAATGATATAGATAATAGCTTCTGTTTTATGTATTAGTTTGTATACTTGAGTATGATTTGTTGATACTATAAGTCATTAATATCTATTATTTTACCAATTTACTTTAGAAAAGTTATATATTTTTAGTAGAAAAAATAATACAGTTTCCTCATGTATTTACCATTCAGTTTTAATACCTATCAAGGCATGAACAGTGCTGTGTTTTGATGTTTTTAATTTCAGTTTTGTTTATTTCAAATAAATTCTTTTCTCTTGTGGCATCATTCCCCCTCCCCTCCAAAATTTAGGCAATCCACTATGGGACATAAGCACCCCAACAGGCATCTTCACTATCAGGCCACATGTTGATCCCAGATAAAATTTTATAAGACACAAAACAGAAATTTTAAAATTATTCCATTATTAGTATAAAATTATCTTATCGTTTTGCTGTTTTAGGTTCTAAATGCCTCTTCTCCCTATTCCTGCACTATCTCTCGTGTACCTGAAATAAACACCTTATGGACCCCTCCCCCCCATAAAAAGATATAAGCAGTCCTCCCAATTATTCCTTACCCAGTTATTTTGAGGCATGTATCAGGCATTGAATGATTTAGATTGTTATGTATTTTTAATTCTATTTGCTGTGGATCTCTTAGAATGTGAAGTGTTTTTTTTATAAAGATTTATTTTATTTTTATTGGAAAGTCAGACATCGAGAGGAGAGACAGAGAGGAAGATCTTACGTCCGATGACTCACTCCCCAAGTGAGCGCAATGGCCTGTGCTATGCTAACCCGAATCCAGGAATCAGGGACTTCTTCCAGGTCTCCCACACGGGTGCAGAGTCCCAAGGCTTTGGGCTGTCCTTGACTACCTTCCCAGGCTACAAGCAGGGAGCTGGATGGGAAGTGTAGCTGCCGGGATCAGAACCGGTGCCCATATGGGATCCTGGCGTGCTCAAGGTGAGGACTCTAGCCGCTATGCCATGCTGCCGGACCCAAGAATCTGAAGTGTTTATTACTGATTAGGTGGAGTAGTAAATGAAAAGTACAACTTTTTGCAAAGGAAATGAACTCAATAAACTTTGCAGTTAATAACTTTTTTTTTTAAGATTTATTTTTTATTGGAAAGTTAAATTTACAGAGAGAAAGAGAGGCGAAGATCTTCCATTTGGTTGTTCGCTCCCCAAGTGGCTGCAGCGGCTGGAGCTGAGCCAAGCTGAAGCTTAGAGCCAGGAACTTCTTTCAGGTCTCCTACTTGGGTGCAGCGTCCCAAGGCTTTGAGCTGTCTTCTACTTCTTTCCTAGGTCACAGTTAAGGAGCTGGAAGGGAAATGGTGGAGCTGGGAGATGAACTGGTGCTCATATGGGATCCTGGTGCATGCAATGCAAGGCCTTTAACCACTAGGCTATCGTGCTTTTTAAGGGCAGATTTACTTAAAATCTATAATGTTCTTTATTTTGAGTCTGGCTGTTGTTTTTGTAAGTGTATGCCGTCTTGATTTGGGTACTTTATATCTTACATTGAAAAATATGAAATTTTATGTATCTGATTTTAGATTAATATGATGGTATTTAGCAAATATTTGAAGGATTTTAGTTGGTCTCTTCAATTACTTTCTATTCTACTTTGAGGAAAAAATTTAGTGGGACTCAGTTTTGAAAATTAAGGAATAAAGGTGCCATTTCATAACTTGAAAGAAGTACATTTTTTCTCCTCTCTGCATCTTTCCCTCTTACTATTTTTCTGCTACTCAGACTAAAGCATTTGGCAGGCTGAAACTTTAATGTGTCATTGTATAGGTGATACGCATTTCTCTGAATTAGACCTTATTACACAGATCTCAATGGATTTGCTTGTTAGAATACTATGATCCAAGACATTGTGATTAGAAGACAGGATTTCTGTTGGCACAGAGAATACTGAGATAACATTTGTGGAATTTTACTTGCCGGACCATATGGTTTTCTTCATTGTTTGGTACCTGATTTTTAAAAGGTAGAATCAGGGCCTGGCACAATAGCCTATTGGCTAAAGTCCTTCCCCTGCACTCCAGGGATCCCATTGAGGCACTGGTTCTAATCCCAGCAGCCCTGCTTCCCATCCAGCTCCCTGCTTGTGGCCTGGGAAAGCAGTCAAGGACGGCCCAAAGCCTTGGACCCCTGTACCCATGTGTGAGACCTGGAAGAAGCTCCGGGCTGGCTTCAGATCAGCTAAGGTCCAGCCTTTGCGGCCACTTGGGGAGTGAATCAACGGACAGAAGATCTTCCTCTCTGTCTCTCCTCTCTGTATATCTGACTTTGCAATAAAAACAAAATAAATCTTAAAAAAGAAAAAAAGATGTAGAATCAGACCCTAAGTTGAATGACAAGATCTTTTAATTAGAGTGTTGTGTTGATCATGCAAACATTTATCTTTGTAGGACTCTTGTGTAAGAAAGTCTTATTTGAGCAGGTTATTCATAATAAACAATGAAGGGACTGTGAAGTAAATGAAGGTAGCTCTGTACATCAGAACAAACATAATGGGAACTTATATCAGTGAGTGGAGGGAACAGTCAAAAGAACTGATAGAGAGCTGGTAATGGATCACATCCAATATGATGAGAAAGGAGACACCTTTGTAGTTGTATATAAAAGTAGCTTTGAGCAGTTGTCTGATGTGGAAATCTAAAACCCAGGTATGATTAGGAGCACAAAAGATAAGGACTGATGGATGTCATTACCAGTCATTGTCAGTGGCCGTAAATTGAAAGTTAGATATGAAGTCTCCAGAGAGTCCAAAGAAGTGTTCAGTACACATTTTAAAACCCATTAAAGAACTGTGGTTACTTTGAAGGGAAAAAATTACTCTTAGGAATCTTAATGTAGTGTATCACTACTTAGTATAGTATATATATGTGTGTGTGTATAAATGTGTATATATAGTGTATGTATATATACATATACACGTATATTAATGATGGACTACCAGTGTAGCTACTAGAAATAAATTTAAAGTGACTTGACTATGCAAGATCTTTTTTAAAATAAGAAATGAAATCTTTATATTTTATCGTAAGACACAAATTTGTGTTCAGTGAAATACTTGTAACTTTTTCATCCCTTGAGTCATGGGATAACATCACTCTGAAACTCATGGTGTATTGGGCCAGGCTGAAGGCAGGAAAATCATCAGTGTTTTCCATGTGGGTGGCAGGGGCCCAGATCCTTAGACATCTTCCTCTGCTCTCTGGGGCGTTGGCAGGGTTCTGTGTTGAAAGTGAAGAGTTTGCTACTCAATCTGGTGCTCAGAGGGATGCCCGCATCACAGGTGGTGGCCTGATTGTGTGGCTCTTTAGTGTTTGTGAGGATAGTATTTGTGACACAGATGTTGTAATGACCAAATGCTACTCATAAATGTGTTCTGAATTTAGGAAAGAATATACAGGTAAGGAAATTTGAAAATGGCTATAAAATAGATAACTCTGTTTATCCAGGTGAGAGAGTTTCCTTGTGTGCAGTATGGTTTTGCATTTATTTAGTATCTGGTATTTATCATGTATTATTCAAGGAAATGGAGATGCAGCAGTGGTGAACAAAATAAACAACAACTGGTGATTTTGCATATTGTAAATCAGTTTCAGAAAGTTAGAAAATAATGAACAATACATGTTCATCATTGCTCAGTGTATTGTTACTAGCTGAAATTGGGAGCTAGAAGGGTGAAACTGAGTGCCTGACATAAATACATAGGACCATGTTTTCTTCCAGTGTATTTCTTTTGTGGTACACTTAGATAGTTTACCTGCTAGCTCTGTGTTTAGGTACTTCCCTTTAATGTTAGCCAGCATGACATCGTGATTTCCTTTTAAATATGCAGGCAGTTTTTTTTCTTTATTTTTTTACAATCTTTACATAGTTAATTGGGCACAAAGGTTCAAGGGCTACAGGAAAGTGAGTAAGACTTATTTCTACATTTTTTTCCCTGTATCTGGGATAAAAGGGGAGATAAAGGGAGAAGCCCCACCCAGTCTCCCACCCATCCCAGGTTCCTGATGTGCGGCATGCTCCGAGGCTCTTGCTCAGGCGGTTTTGATAGTTCAACAGTTATGAATTGCTGCCAGTCTCGCCATTCCAAGCACGATGAGGTCCCTGAAGAATACACTGGTTGACATAGTCTACCTTAGAGTCTCCATTTGCCCAATTTTTCACTGCCAACAACATATGGCTGGGGTAGTTGACTGATTTGTTCTGTCCTCTATTGTGGTGCCAGGTATCCTCTGCAGGTTCTGATGGACTGCCATATCCTCCGTGTGCACCTGGTTATACTCTACACTGCTCTGTCTGAGCCTCTTAGGAGGCTCAGCTCTGGCACTTGCACTGCGTGGCAGACCATGGAACCTGTACTTCTCTTCATGGTTAGGGTTCTGAGTCCGGCAGTTTGATTGGGGAGATTAAAAAAAAAAACTTTGTATGAGATGATCCCAGACCAAATTCTTGTGTGTGCTTGGCAAATACAGGGCCTGGTACAGTCCATTGCCCTATTCAGCAGGTGGTTGCAATTGCTGGGACAGTTCTGTTTCCAGCCCTGTCTTCCACTGGAACCAATGGGTGTTGCAGTCCAGCCTGATTCTGCCCAGCACACACTGGGCCCTCACATAAACCAGTGTGACCTGCAGCCTAGTCGGGGCGACCCACAATAACCTCCACCAGGCCTGCCCCCTATCCTGGTTCCTGTGCTTGCCATTATGTGCAGCAGATTAGTACAGTCTGTTGCATGTCCCATTCAGCTCTCATACATGTCAATGGGCATTGAAGCCTAGTGCAAACTAACCAGCCCTACTATCCAGCCCGCACACATGTGCTGGGGGGTGCCATTCTGTCCAGCCAGGTCTGCCCCAGTCCTGGTTTTCATGCCCTCTAGTGGGAGTGGTAACCCAACAGGGAGGAACCCACTATTTCCCTTCTAGGCCACTCCCACTCCCAGACTATGCACTCTCCAGGTGGTTCTGGAGTTTAACCTGACAGAATTAGCCCCCAGTGCCAGCATCTGACATCTGATTTTGCAGCTAAGCCCAACCAACTCTCATCCACTCTAATTTATGCTTGCACCAGGAGGAACAGTCAGCCCAGCCTGGCTTTTCCCTGACTTAGCTCACATGAGGCCCACAGGCGTTGTAGCCTTGCCTGGTCTGGTCTGTCCCCGTCCCAGCTCACGCTCTCCATTGGCAGTGGTTGTCCAGCAGGGGAGCCCTTCACATTTCTGCTGCAGGCTCTCCCCACTCCCTCCCTGGTTTTCATATGTGCTGTTTGGGTGCTGTGGCCACATCTGGTACAGGTTACCTCACCTTGGCATTCCATAAAGTGCACTGGTTTGGGTCGCAACCATACCTGGCCTGACCCACACGCTGTTCTGGTGCTCAGATTTGCCAGTGGGTGATGTGAACTGGTTCAGCTTGCTCTGCCCCCGACCCATGCCACATGTATGCCAGTGGGTATCTTTCCTTTGCCTGTTCTGGGCTGTTCCCTATTGTGCTTTTTGTGGCAAGCTGTTTCTAAAAAGAAAACTGGTACTATGAAAAAAACTGCGTGGGGCCTGCGTGGTGGCCTAGCCTCTAAAGTCTTCACCTTGAATGCGCCTGGATCCCATATAGGATCTAATCCACTTCCCATCCAGCTCCTTACTTGTGGCCTGGGAAAGCAGTCGAGAACGGCTCAAAGCCTTGGGACCCTGCACCATGTAGGAGACCTGGAGGAAGTTCCTGGCTCCTGGCCTCAGATTGGTGCAGTACCAGCCATTGCATTCACCTGGGAATGAATCATTGGAAGGAAAATCTTCCTGTCTGTCTCTCCTCCTGTCAGTATATCCGCTTTTCCAAAAAGAAAGAAAGAAACAAACAAAAAACCCAAAAACAACAACAAAACAAAACCCAAACTGTTAATTTCAAAGCTGGTTGCTTTGGGATCAACACTTTGGTGTGGCTGCCTATTAATCCACTGCTTTTGAAAGCTCCAAAGCATTATCAGAGTACCTATTTTAGTCCTGGCTTCTCTGCTTCCAGTGTAGTTCTCTGTTAATGCTCTTGGAAAGGCAGCACAGATGGTCCAAGTAACTGTGCCCGTGTTACGATTATGGAGACCCCGATGATGGAGTTCTGGCATACATCTAGCTGTTGATGTCACTGGAGAGTAAACCAGCAGATGGCGGATAGCTCTATTTCTCTTTCTGTTTCTCTTCCTTTCAAGCAAGTAAAAACACAAGTTTTTTTTTTTTTTTAACTTTTTAATTCCCCTTTGAAGAACTCTTCTATGTCTGATTGGTTTATTCATCCTTTGCACTTAATCCTTTAACCTGTTGTTCAGGGACAACTTAACAAAATGCCAGGTAAAGTTGTATAAAATGCCAAATTTCACAAATTCATCCAAGATTTGTTTAATTTGGAACAGAGTCAACATAAAAATGAAATTAAGTAGATGAGAAAAAAACCCATGTAATCTACCTATTATAAAAATGATTAATTAAAGAAACTTCATGCTTTTGGAAAAAAAATGCATTGATTTGATTTTTGTGCTTTTCTGAAATCATCATGTGATATACCAATAGAAAAGTTATGAAGAAATTTCTCAATATTGCCGTTTGACATTTTTTAGGTTGTTACCCTTGCCCAGGGCCGAATGTGAATCCTATTGCTCTTGGGAGCCGCTGGCTTGCTTATGCAGAAAACAAGGTAAAATGTGGTCCATGTTTTGCTTATTTTTTGCTGGAGTAAATGCTGAAGGGTTTTTCCTAATAAATTTACAAATTATTTTGGTGATTATTACGAATGATATTTTTTTTACTTGTTGGTTGGCTTTCACTTGATTTTAATTTTTCAATCAATTAATGGACTCATTTTTAAGAGTTCTTATATATCAATTGTGTAGATCTTAATTTTCTGAAGTTAGTTTCTTATAGGGAAAATTACTTACTAATGTTATTAAAATGTTGACATTTCCATCATAGAGATAAAACATCAGGCTCTGTGAAGATAAAAAGTTCTCTCTTCATTGGTGGTCTAAAAGGGGCATAGTAGGATTTAATTCATTGTGTGTGTCAGCCAGTATGTCTTAGCAAAGGACTTAGCTGTTTTTAAATGATTAATTCACATATATGCATGATTTGATGGATTTTGTATTTATGTTATGTAGTAAGTGAAAACATAATTTATATTAAGGGTTTGATTGATGTACAGTTTTATACAAAAGATACATTTTAAAAAGTGCAATGCTTTTCAAACTTCTTGGAGAAGATGTGTGTGACTGAATGATGACAACTTAAAAATATTATAGACTTTGAAGAATAGTAATTTTGGTATCATTTTCCTGAGTGCATAGTTGTATGTTGGCAATGTGAAATAATACAAGTACTTCTTGATGGAATCAGGAGTTGGTAAGCACAGTGAATGTTTGATGAAGTCACAGGGCTAGTAAATCTCTATTTGGAATGTGCAAAATCAAGAACTAATAACAGATTATTTTTAAGAGATTTTATTTATTTTTATTGGAAAGTCAGTTATACAGAGAAGAGTAGAGACAGTTGATTTCATCCAATGATTCACTCCCCAGTGGCCACAATGGCTGGAGCTGCACCAATCTGAAGCCAGGAGCCTCGAGTCTCTTTCAGGTCTCCCACATGGGTGCAGGGTCATTAGGCTTTGGGCCTTCCTTGACTGCCTTCCCAAGCCACAAGCAGAGAGCTGGATAGGAACTGGGGCTGCCATGACACAAACCAGTGTACGTATGGGATCCCAGGCATGTGCAAGGTGAGGACTCTTGCCACTAGGCTATTGTGCCAGGCCCAACACATTATTTTTTAAAATAAATTCCTCAATTTTGTACCCAGTATTTTATCTGAAACAATTCAATACTTTTATGTTTCTTATTGAATGTTCCTGTTTGTTGTCTTGATTTTGTAGTCATTTTATAAATAGTCTTTTTCTAATTATTCTTTTCAAACAAGACAGGAGGCGTACAGTTAAATGTGGTGACATAGTATCTGTTCCTGCTTATATTCATATTGCTTTTCTCTTGTGTGCTTCCAAGAAGATGTGTGAATTGTCACATGGCTTTTGTAAAACTATTTTCAGATGCAGGCAGCTGTTTGGTTGGGGTCAGTGAGGCCATGTTTTTGCTGGGAAGCCTGCTTGTGTACCTGCTTGTGTACCACTTGTCTTGCCTTTAAAGAGTAGGACAGTTATATCTGCTGTTGTATGAAGAGACCAGGCAGTGTGGCGACAGCCACAAGGAGTTTCCCAGTGAAATGCTGGTTCTATCATCTAGAAATATTTCTGCAGAAGTTTCTTTGCATAGTTTTTCTAATACTTATTATAAGTATTAGAGCTAATACTTATTATAAGTCTGTTTTGTTTTTGAACTGAGTGTATAATTTTAGAATTGAATTAAATATGAAATGCCATTTGTAGAATTTTCTGCAGTGGCATACGGTGATCTGGTCTAGGATTAGGAGTACATTTTGTTGTATTGTCTTTGTTTAAACATAGAATAGTCCATAATATTTTGCATTATTGGTACTTATAAAGAATATAATTCTTTTTGTTCATTCAAGTTTAGAAGTTACAATGATTTTAATTTTTTATTTGTTTGATAAATTTTATGAGCAACAACATTCTGCTTTTTTCCTTCTTTACATTTATCTGTTGATACAGACTCATCAGTTTTATTTTTCACTCATTTATTCTTTATTGCTATCTTTAATTATTCTGGTTTTCAAAATATCTTGAAGGCAAGCAATAGAAGCCCCTCACCGCTGGTTCTTGTGACCTTGTAGAATACCCTAATCATCTAAAAAAAAAAAAAGGGCCTCACACAGTAGCCAAGTGGCTAAAGTCCTCACCTTGTGTGCACCAGTATCTCGGCTGTTCCACTTCCCTTCCAGCTCACTGCTTATGGCCTAGGAAAGCAGTCAAGGATGGCCCAAGAGCTTGGGATCCTGCACCCATATGCTCTAGTCATTGAAGCCCCCTGGGGAGTGAAGCAGCAGATGAAAGAGCTTTCTTCCTCTGTTTCTCCTCCCTATAAATCTGCCTTTCCAATAAGAATAAATAAATCTTTAAAAAACAACAACGAAATCTGAAAAACCTGTTTCTTTACTTGCTGGCATGAGAAAATGTCTAGATTCATATATCTTTACCTTTACCCTTGCCTTAACGTTTTCTGGCATTCCTACTGGTACTTTTTAGTGAACAGTGGTATTAGGGAGTAATCTTAGTCTGATAGGTATACTCTTTTAACCAGGGGTATATAGATTCTTGTTTCTAGACCGTCAGTGGAAGAGCTGGGAGATGCAGGTGCACAAACGTACATATTCATACACAACATGTGGCACATATACATGTATGTTCCCTTGTATGCCTACATATAATGCAATACATAGTTAAAAATTATGCATTCCGTGTTCATGGGTTTGTTTTCTTGCATAACAGGCCCTGGCATCTGCTCATGAATTCATTTGTTTAATTTTGCCACATATTAAAAACAAAAAGCGGGCCCGGCGGCGTGGCCTACAGCTAAAGTCCTCACCTTGAACACGCCAGGATCCCATATGGGCGCCAGTTCTAATCCCGGCAGCTCCACTTCCATCCAGCTCCCTGCTTGTGGCCCGGGAAAGCAGTCGAGGATGGCCCAATGCCTTGGGACCCTGCACCCATGTGGGATACTTGGAAGAAGTTCCTGGATCCTGGCTTCGGATCGGAATAGCATCGGCCGTTGCGCTCACTTGGGGAGTGAATCATCGGACGGAAGATCTCCCTTTCTGTCTCTCCTCCTCTCTGTACATCTGACTTTCCAATAAATAAATAAATAAAAAAACAAACAAACAAAAACCAGAAAGCAAACCATGGAATTGCTTGTCAGGTTTTTGTTGTTGCTGTTTTTGCTCTCATGTCACATTATCAATGCTTTTTTAAAAAAGATTTATTTATTTTTATTGGAAAGTTAGACAACTTGAACAAGTTAGACAACCGGGAACTGCAGCCTAGTGGGAGCGATCCCCAATAACCCCCACCTGGCCCGCCCCTGTCCTGATTTGCCAGCATGTGTAGCAGCCTAGTTCAGTCTGCCCCATATCCCATTGGGCTCTCGTAAGTGTCGAAGGGTATTGGAGCTTAGTTCCATCCAACAGCTCAACTGTCCAGCCCTCACGGATATTGTTGAGTGCTTCTCTGTCTAGCTAACCCAGCCCCTGTCTTAGTTGTTATTGTGCTCTCCCATGGGAGTGTTGACCCAAGAAGGGGGAGCCCACTATTTCCCTCCCAGGTCACTCTCACTCTCGGTTGTGCTCTGTCCAGGTGGCCCTGTGGTTGGACTTGACAGTAATGGTCCCTAGTGCCAGCTTCTGCTGTGGCTAAGCCTGGACAGCTCGCACCCCCTCCCGTTTTGTTAACACTAGTAGGAATAGTCCGCCCGTCCTGGCTCTTCCCTGATCTGGTCCATATGAGGTACACAGGTGCTGCAGCCCTACCTAGTCTGGTCCCAGCTCATGCTCTCCAGTGGGAGTAGCTGTCCAGCATGGGAACCACCCCTTATTTCCATGTTGGCTCTGCGCCCCCTTCCTGATTCTCACGTGTGTTGGTTGGGTGCTGTGGTCTCATCTGGCACAGGCATCCTCACTTTGGTATTCTGTGTTGTATCCTGCTTTTGTTGTGACCGAACCTGGCTCGACCCACACTCTGCTCTGGCATTCGGATTTACCAGTGGACAATGCAAGCTGACTCAGCCTGATCCGTCCCCAACCCATGCCAAATGTATGCCAGTGGTGCACTTTTTCTGGCTGTTTCCTTCCGTGCTTCTTGCATTTATTTGAAGGATCCGTGTCCTGTCAGAGGAATTGCTCAGACTCCTCCCTCAGAACCTCTCGTGGTGCCAGGTTTCAGATTGGATACATTTCTTCCTGTGCAGTTTGTTTAGTTAAATATTCATATAATTTAATATTTAATAATAGTATATTTGTTCTTTGGCATGCTGCTCATATATTTTAAATATTTCCAGGAAGTTTGTCTGTTTGATAGTTTTACAATAGAGAGTATTCCTATTCATGTTTAAGATGAATATTCATCTTGTCAAGGTTTAAATTTGGCATAGTTTGTGTTAAAGATATTTATGCAACTTATTGAATCAAAAGGGAAAGCATGTTGTTTACTTTTTGCGTATTTGAACTTGGATGTTGTAATTATTTGAAGCAGGAAATAGTCCTTCCAAAACATTGCTTTTCTTTACTCATACAGCAGGAGGCAGCAGAGGGATGATTTTTATAAATAAGTGTGGATTTGTATGAATAAGTGAGTGAGGGAGAGATCCTTTTTATTAGCCCAAAAGATCACTTTTCAGATTAATTGCTTTCATCTATGTGAAAAACCACATTTGCCCAGCACTTTTCATTTAGAAAATTTGTCACCGTCCATCTTAAAATCTACTTAACAAGCAATACAGCGTGGGTGTAACAGATACTGCCTAAAAAAAAATTGATTGTGCATGTTTTAAGTGTGTTCCATTCTATAATAATGTATTAATATTATTTTCATGGATTAAAATATAGTGATGTCCATAATGAATAAAATTTTTGTTTAAAAATAAAAGGATTACAAGTTAATCTTCACCAGAGGGCCTGGGTTTAGATTATGTAATGCGTTTTTGTTTTGACATTTTGTGAGATGCAGTTTTTTTATGTTTGTGTATGTGAGCTCCAGGAACTTTTAAAACCTGTTATAGTTGGTTGCTTTTTGAAAATTCTTCTTAGTCTCATTTTTTAAAAAATGCAAACAGACTAAACTGGCTAATTATTTTTTCCCAAATATGGTAACTGCAATACCAGTACAGAATTTAATTGCTTTGTAGTTTAGTGTACGAAGGACTCATGTTATCATAGTAGCAATTAACTTTGCAAATTCACAGGTTGATTTATGTACAGGATGTAAGAATAAGAATATTTCATTTTTTAAAAAAGGATTTATTGGGCCCAGCGAGATAATATAGTGGTTAAAGTCCTCTCCCTGAACATGCCAGGATCCCATATGGTCACTGGTTCTAAGCCTGGCAGCCCTGCTTCCCATCCAGCTCCCTGCTTGGGACCTGGGAAAGCAGTGCAGGACGGCCCAAAACTGGGACCCTGCACTCGCCTGGGAGACCTGGAAGAAGCTCCTGGCTCCTGGCTTTGGATCAGCTCAGCACCAGCTGTTAGATTTATTTATTGTATTAATTTCTTTTTTTTTAAGATTTATTTTATTTTTATTGGAAAGGTGGATATACAGAGAGGAGGAGAGACAGAGAGGAAGATCTTCTGTCTGATGATTTAGTCCACAAGTGAGTGCAATGGCCGATGCTATGCCGATCCAAAACCAGGAGCCTCTTCCGGGTCTCCCACGCGGGTGCAGGGTCCCAAAGCTTTGAGCCGTCCTCGACTGCTTTCCTGGGCCACAAGCAGGGAGCTGGATGGGAAGTGTAGCTGCCGGGATTAGAACTGGCACCCGTGTGGGATCCCGGGCATGCAAGGCGCCATCGTGCCGGGCCCCTATTGTATTAATTTCTATGAAGTGAGTGGATTTTGTGTATTTCACAATACAGATTTAGAAACGTAGTGGTTCCCCCTCTGCTTTCCAGTATTTCCTTCCTAATTCCCGCTGTTTTCCCCTAATTATTGTAGTGGTATATTTTCCTTCCACTTTACATTCACAAGGTTGACACTCCAATAGTATGAAGATACAAAGATGTAAGAAATAGGGGGGAAAATGAAAATGCTATTATTCAGGAAGCATTTCATTTTTTTATGCTTAATGGTAAAAGAAGTAATTCCTGTGCAGTGGTCAACTAGTATGCCTAATTTCTGCCACATTTCTACTGATAATTAGAAATGTAAACATGTAAAATCCTTGGCATACTTTTTGATTTATAATTTTTGTGAAGGAATTGAAAAGACAAAACATCCAATTTGCTACCATGTCAGATATTTTAGTGTTTGAAAGTCATGTTTACGTGCTTTGATTATGTTTTTAAAACTTATTTGTGGAAAGGCTGCCAGACCCCAAATCCTACCATTTCAGAGTTTATGAATTCTTAAAGACTATTCATCTTGTAATTAAAACCGTATTTGAGCATGAAACTGTCTGAGTGGCACCAGTAGATTATAAAAAGGGGTAAAAGTGTCTCAGCAGGGCTTTTAGCTGTTTGTATGAAATACACTCATGCAAACATTCCCACCCACCACCATCGTTATGCACAGTGAATAAGCTCTATCTAATAGCCTGTAGACTTAAACAGTTTAATAGAATGACTTTCTGGTTCTCTCTTTTTCCCCTCAGTTGATTCGATGCCATCAGTCCCGTGGTGGAGCCTGCGGAGACAACATTCAGTCTTATACTGCCACAGTAATTAGTGCTGCCAAAGTGAGTACCTCCACAGTGTTGGGGAGTTTGATTATGTGGAGTAATTATCAAGTCTCTCCTGAAGTGTATTCCGTCTGCCCCTTCCATCCTCATTCACAAATAGGGAATAGCCTTAAGAAGTAAATCAGAATATTGTGTTGCTATTGAGAATCCGTGATTGGACTTGTTATGGTTTATAAGTAATTCTTTATTTTCTGTTTTGATTTGAGAGTTTGTACTTATCCAATTTAAAATATTTTAGTCTGTTAACTAGATGAAAGTTTGGTATCTAATCAATGCCAGATTTGAAAGAAGCTTGTGTGTTTTAAACAGTGGCTTCTGGATGCTTTATGATTTGCTTCGTTTTTACCTACGCTGACATCCCTGTATGTCTTTGAACATTTCTGAATCCTTTTGACTTGAAAGAGTATCAATCCTTAAGAAAACTTGAGTCAGGCCCTGGCACACTCAAAGATTCTTTCATATCAGGGGGCTGGCTGCCCCCCTCATGTTTGTCAAGTGAGTTCTTTTTTGTGTTTTTGAGGGTTAATTTTGATGATGGCTGGTAAACTTTATGCTGATTATAAGGTATTCTTATAACCACTATCCTTTTGAATTGTGAAGTGTACAACAAAACAATTCCAATAATAGGGATGACAGAGTGAATCTAAATGACAGCATGTAATAGAAAGCACAACTATTCACAAAAGAACAACAATTTAAAGTAAACCACAGAAAGGGAATCAAAGATCACACTGCTTTATGTAAAACAAATACAGAAATACTTCAAAATTGATCATAAATGCTTATATGATGTTATTAAGAATGTATTCCTATGTTGATGGGAGAAGAATTACATATTTTTTCTTTCAAAAGGGAAATAATAAATAAGTCTTTATGCTGACAGTACTGTATTTTTATATTTTCAGAAATCTTTGGGAAAATGCTTGTTTTTCTCCTGTAATGTGCTAAGATTGTAGTGGTTTCAAAAAAACAGCAATTCTGTGCTGTCTTGTTAGTGTCTCTGTAATTTATAACAAGGAAACCTCATTTTCAAGTATTGGAATCCCCTTGTATTTGTTTGTTCCACATACTTGGATCAGGATATCTCATCAGGAGAGGGCATTTGAAAAGGTTTGTGATACAATGGCACAAAAGATTTTGAAATTTTGCATACAAGGGCTCATAAAAAAATTCATGGAAAATAAATATTATGAATAAAATATTAATAGGTTTCAGTGTTTGAGTAATCCTCAGTTATGGAATGGAAAAGTATTTGCACAATAAGCAGTGTCAGACCATAGCAGAGAATAAAAAGTTTTATGCTATCAGGACACTGTGATGCTGAGACTACTTAATGATAGCATTATGAAAAATGGAGAAACATAGTCCTTTCTAGTTTGTGAAAATATTCCCCAAAAATGTTTTCAGTAAAAAATTAAGCTGGTAGGCAGTATGATTGTGTTAAAATCCATTTGAGATAATTCCACAATATAAGATTGGTTTATCAAAATTAATCAGTGTAATTTGCCATATTTAAAAAGAATAAGTTAGCTGATTATCTCAATAACTAATCAAAAAGCTAATGAGAAAATTGAACATACACTCAATTACAAAGCTTTCAGTAAGTACTTTCTTATTAAATATTTTCTGTGTATTTTACTTTTCTCATTTTGTCAGACTTATTGAAATCCAGGAGACTTGTTTTTGTTAAAGTTTTTCTGACAACTCCAATTCTTAGTTCTTTGGGTCTTTTTCTGGTCTTTATATCTGTTGCTGCTCATTGGTAATGACATGTTAGCCCCGTTTTTGGCTCAAATTTATTTTTAAACATAAATAAATAAATTTAAAAATAAAACTTTAAAATAATGAAAATTTTTGATATAAATATCAATCATTGATCATCTTAATCCAATTTGAATAATTGATGGCATTTAAATTACTTAAATGAAGATCTTTAAAATATCCATGGCTGATTATTGGAACAGATTCATTCTTTTGTTATATGTCTCTTTATATTTTAACCTAAATTGAAGACAGAATCTTACTGGTAGACCTGCTAAGTAGACTTTGAATCCAGTGCATGAGCATGTTGTTCCATAATTCTGTCATAAAATATTGTATATAAAATTAGCAGGTACCTGTAGCATCAACAGATACCTCTGGACCTAATTGCTCAGCTGCAGTGACTGAATATACGTCCTCTTTGATTCTGACCTAGTAATTCTTTATGACCTTGTTAAATACTCCATGTTTTCAAGCAGCATTTTGTACTATTCTCTCTTTTCTTAGTTGTTCTGTTTGAAATGATTGATCTACTATTTACCTCTCCCATTATTATGGAAAATGAATAATAAGTTTTCTCAAAGGCAGTACTACCATTTTAATCTTTTCTAGATAACACAAATATTTTTGAGATGTATCAAGAAATGTGCTTGTTTAAAAAAGTTTTTAAATGATTTCCTATTCTTTCCAAAATAATTTTCTCTGAAATGGTAATTCTTTCCTCTTTTTGAAGACAGTTTCCTGTGAAGCTATGTAAAAATCATGCAGGGTTTTTTACCTGCTTGTTATACAAAATGATTAGGTCCTCAATTTTTAATTTTTAGTTTTTTGTTTCAATATGGAATTGTGCTAGTAAATATATTTGCACTTGGAGGTCTTTAGAAGAAATAATCCTTTTTTATATTTTATTAATTTTCAAATAGTACTTAAAAGTAATCTTTTTAGGGCCTGGCGTGGTGGCCTAGTGGCTAAAGTCCTTGCCTTGAATGTGCTGGGATCCCATATGGGTGCCGGTTCTAATCCCGGCAGCTCCACTTCCATCCAGCTCCCTGCTTGTGGCCTGGGAAAGCAGTCGAGGACGGCCCAAAGCCTTGGGACCCTGCATCCATGTGGGAGACCTGGAAGAAGCTCCTGGCTCTTGGCTTTGGATCAGCTCAGCACCAGCCGTTGCGCTCACTTGGGGAGTGAATCATCGGACGGAAGATCTTTCTTTCTCTCTCTCCTCCTCCCTGTATATCTGACTTTGCAGTAAAAACAAATAAATTTTTAAAAAATTAATCTTTTTAGTTTAAAATTTTCTTCTTTTGCTTTTTATGACAATTGGTTGGCTTTGCTTATAAGGACTATATGAATGATGATTATTTTATGATAGTAATAAGGAAAAATATTTAAAATTAAAAGTGTTCAATCTGATTACTTGTATGCATTTATAAAATTCTGGTCCTTATTTTCTAGTTTTTTTGTGTGTCTTGCTATAATGTGCTTTAACCCCTCCATGGTCAATTGATTTAGTACAAAAGCCTGCGTTTTCTTTAGCTGTCTCATAACCTTTTATGACAACTAACAGTTTTAATGAGAGCAGCTCCATTAGTACTAATGGGTGGCAAGGACCCTGATATGGCATGGGAAAGGTTCAAGAAGACTACTGACCCTTTGGCAAGCCTGCCCGCAACAAAACAGGAAGAAGTACCTTGTTCATTCTAATTGTAGTTTGTAATGGGCTTCCTCATACTTTAGTTGTAGCCTTTTAGCTGTCTTATGAGTCTTCTTCAGAAAGTTTATGGAAAATATGCATATTTAAAAGTCACTGTGCTAGGATTTCAAAGATTTTTGGCAGCAATATCAACTGATCGTTTAATTCTGTTTTTACTGAAATTGTTTTAAGTACCACTGAGTATCTTTAGGTTTATTTTGTAAATGATTTTTTTATAACTTAACTGGAAATTTAGTTATACATTAAATAACTTAGACTGTGATGATACTCAGTCTGTGTTATCTTTTTCCTTTTGTCAGGTTTGATTTCTTTACTCCTAATTTTTGCCTATCTTTTATCATTGTTTTGTATATATTTGACCAGTTTATCAGGTGCATGCATATAGCTTAGTAAAATCAAATGGTAAAGCAAATGACTGTGTAGTAATTTATATCTCTGTGGATTATGAAAACTGTTACGAAACAGCTTGCTGTAGATTTTCTGGATTCTAGTGCTCATAAATGTGCTTGTTTCTATTATGTAAACAGATTCATCCTAAAAGCAAAGGTCTTTCACCATCATCCTTCACTCATACCCCCATGCTTAATGTATTCTAACTACTACTATCTTGTAGCTTAATATGCAAGTTTCAGACTTGATGATTAAATTTTGGGTTTAGATTTTTGCCAACCAGTGAGATAACTCCATCAGTAGTCATAGTTTTTTTTCCCTTTAAGAAATATGTAGAGCTTTTCATCTAATATGGCCCTTTGAATGTGAAATACATGGTTGTTTTCCAAATCTTTGTGGTTCATTTTCCTAGTTTTCTTATCACTGTTTTGTGCTTTGCTTCAGTGCATAACACTTTTGCTGTGCTCTACCTGTCATTTTGATCCCATTCATTGGTGTAAGAGCATGAACTAATAGGCTCAGGGTAAGTGCAGAGACTAGAATATACAACCAAAGACTTTACAACTAAGAGGCATTCCTGTGATAACGGGATAACTGAGTGAGAATGGAGCATCTCCATTAGCATTAATGGAGTAAGTACATCAGCTAAGGCATTTTAGAGGTTAAACGTGCTTCCTGGCCAGCTCTTGACATCGATACACAGTGGCGCCTTGTTCCTTTGGCTGCTCACAGACTTACTTGACAACACTATAACAGACATTGTGTAAGTCATTTCTTGTGAATTATTGAAACAAACATTTGCTTGCTAATTGAAGAATGCTAATGTGCTTTGTAATCACTGCAGTTTGCGTTTTTAGCACTAAACAAAACAGTTATAATTGATTTGTGGCTTTGTCGGGGGGAGGGTTCAGTCTGCGAAAAATTAGTGTGAAGTTAGCATGTGTTTGCTGGTCATTTTATTTATATAATACATTATTACAGTTATTTTGTTCCTGAAAGTATCAGATGGTTAGAATAAAGGAACACTGGTAGTAACAGAACCAGATTCACAGGCCATGCAGGAGAGTAGCTCATAATGAGACTCTGGAGACAGGTAGTCTTGGGATTGTGTACTGGCTTTGAGCTGCCAGTTCATTTACCTTGCCTGGAAGCCTCAAACTTCTCATCCATGCAAGACAGGCAGTTCATGTTAGGCATGTGATCAGCCCCAACCATGTAGTACAGGAGCCAAGGAACGTAGCTATAGTAGAAGAATGCATGCGTTACTGGTATTTTAGTAGAGAAGTTATTTGGAAGAGACTTTTTTCAGTATTTAATTAATTTATTAGAAAGGCAGAGAAGCTAAGGAGAGAGAAAGAATAGCTGTTCCGTTGACTGGTTTACTCCCACATACCCAGGCTTGGACCAGGAGTAAGTAAGCCAGGAGACTGGAGCTTACTTGGGGTCTCATGTGCGTGTGACAGGGATTCATCCATACTTAGTCATAATCTGCTGCCTCCCAGGCTGCACATTAAGAGGAAGCTATATTGGAAAGCAGAGGAGCTGGGACTGTAACCAAACATTCTAACATTGAATTTTGACATCTCAGACAGCATCTTAGGCATTGTTACTGCCTACTAATTGTTTCCGATATCACATTTTAGCCTTTGTAACCCACCCTCTTTTTATACTCATTTTAATTTAAAATATGAATATGTAAGAATTTCCATTTTAGATTTAACTTCAGAGTCTATAAAAATATGGTTGAGGATATTTTGCCCATAATTATTTTAGAATACTGACTGCAGTGTAGATTAGTTTAAAGTATTTTAGTAAAATTTTCTCCCACAACATGAGAATTGAAAAAAAGTTGAACATAGTATTTGATTTTTCATATGATCTAATAATCTGTGCTGCTTTGTTTGGCCCCAAACAAAATCACTTCTTCAACTATTTATTATTGATTAAATTTTCTGTTTGTCCTTGCTATGATACTTGAATAAGTTATTTGTAGAGAGTGGGAGAGCCAGAGAGAGTGAGATCTTCATCTGCTACTTCACTGCTCAAATGGCTACAACTGCTGGGACTGGGCCATGTTAACTCGTGGAACCTGGAACCCTATCTTGTTCTTTCACATAGATGGTAGAGGCCCAAGTTTGCTGATTTTCCAAGTGTAATTGCAGGGAGCTGGAACGTCAGCCAATGTTCCAGTGTCGGATACTGGTGACGGCTTGAACCAGTGTGCCACAGTAAAGGCCCTGGCTATCTTATTTTCAAATTAAAATCCCCTGCTACTTAACTTTTTTTTTTTTAATGAGAAGACAATTTTTAAAAAGATTTATTTATTTTTATTGGAAAGTCAAACTTACAGAGAGGAGAGATAGAGAGAAAGAAAGGTCTTCCATATGCTGGTTTACTCCCTAAGTGGCTGCAATGGCTGGATCTGAGCTGATTGAAGCCAGGAGCCAGGAGCTTCTTCCAGATCTTCCCAAGAACCATCCCCTTCTGTTTTCCCAGGCCACAAGCAGGGAGTTGGAAGGGAAGTGGAGCAACCGGGATATAAACCAGCTTGCATATGAGATTCCGGTGCATGTAAGGACAGGACAATAGCTGCTAGGCTACCATGCTGGGCCCTGAGAAGATAATTTATATTTAGGGGGATTATGTGAGGTAATTTACTTATTTAAATTTTCTTTAAAAAATTATCTTTCATGAAAATAGTGTTTGTTTAGAATTGTTTTTTGTGGTAAGACAGAAATTAACCCTCTTAGCTAATTTTATATATCTAATAATTAGTATCTTAGACAATAATATTTTACAATTCTCAAATCTTGGTGTACTATATTATATATAGTGTAATTTGCATTGAAATCTAGGCTTTTGTGCATGAATATTCTATCTCATGTCTTAAGAATGATCAAAAATAGATGTAATATTCAATATATAGTATTTCAAAGAGTAGAACCCTGCACATTTTCTCACTTTTCACTATATCACATTAAAAAAATTATTTTCCATGATACAGTTTTATAGGAATAGGGATTCCTCCTTCTTTTTAATCTCCTCTTCTTTTCCCTCTCATCATTTCCCCCTGTGTTATTAAAGTAGTATAATTAGTCCTTTAATAACAGGACTACTTAAGTGTATCATGGCATTTTCAGTATAGGCAATGATAGAAAACCTAGTATTAAATTATAATGGTATATTTAACAGTTTTCATTGTTTTCTCCTTTTTTTTTGAGAGTGTAGTGTATCTTCACTTTCCAGTATGACAGTCTTCAATATAAGTTCATTTATGAGAGTGTATGTATAGTTGTTTATGTATATATAATTTTTTTTTTATTTTTCAGTAAGGTTACCTTATATTATAGAGAACATATGGTATTTGTCCTTTTTAAAGATATATACAGTAAGAAGAGGGAGTAAAGTTAATTTTTACAAAAGTCTGCTGATATGCTTATGTGTTCAAGGTATTTGTTTAACTGTGACTATGTAAATTCTGAATATTTGTTGTTATGTAATGAATTAGAACCTACTATCACCAACAGAATAGTTAATAATGTGTAGATTTCTATTCATAATCTGTATGTACATGTGGTGATGTACTTTTTACCTTTCATTATACAGACCTTAAAAAGTGGCCTGACAATGGTTGGGAAAGTGGTCACTCAGCTGACAGGCACGCTGCCCTCAGGTGTGACAGAGGATGATGTCGCCATCCATAGTAATTCTCGGAGGAGTCCTCTGGTTCCTGGAATTATTACAGTAATCGATACTGAAACTGTTGGAGAGGGGCAGGTAAGAAGAATTCTGAGTCTGATGAAGTTGAGATAAGATCAAGATAAGCCAAAATGTATTTGGCCTCAAGGATAGTTTGGAGATTGAGAAATTATTTTAGATCACATTTTTTTTTTTGTCAAAGAATGGTTAATATGGTTAATGGTTTTAAAATCTGTTATTTTAATTGTTATTAATCCAGCAGGTTGAACAGAAGCTCAAACAATAGTAAATACACTTGGAAAAGATTTTGAAAAATAATTGACTAAATATGGTTGCAATAAGCATAATTTATTATTATAGGTGAATTAATTTTTTTCACGTGCATATTTAAAGATCTAATCCTTATGTTTGATATAAGAAAGCTTGACTATCATGTGTCATGGCGAAGATTGCTTTTGGTCAGTCCTCTTGGGAGTTCTGTGCTTCTCCTGGATGTTGTTTCCCAATTCTTTCTCTAGATTAGGGAAGTTTTCCTTTATTATTTCATTAAATGCATTTGTAAACCCAGCTTCTCTTTCTGTACCTTCTGGGGCTCCCATAACTCTTATACTTGGCCTTTTAGTAGTGTCTCTTAATTTTTGAGTCTTTTTTTTTTTAGTTTGATCCAGCTCTGCCTCCAACTTTTTATTGTTTCCCCAAGATGAAAGGAAATATCTTCCAATTGTGAGGTTCTTTCTTCTGCTTCATTCATTCTATTATGGAGACTTTCCATGGAATTCTTAATTTGCTCTGTTGTGTCTTTCATTTCCAATAATTTGGCTTGATTTTGTTTTATTGCTGCTATTTCCTATGTGACATATTACTTAAATTCCTTGAACTCTTGTATGTGCTTCTCATTGATTATAAGAAGCTTTATAACAAGTGTTTTGAATTCTCTATTCCCCATTTCCTCGATGCATTCCTCAGTTAACTCTGAGATTGACAAAGTCTTGCTCCTTTGCAGGGGAGTCTTCAGTAATATTCATTATGTCTTTGTTTCTGATTTTGCTCGTGGTCATTTTACTTCCGGTTATCAAATTCTCCTTAGGGCAGGTTTCTACACTGTGTCACCCACAGGTTTACAGTTTAATTTTACTTATTGTGGTTGATACCTGGTTCTTTGTTTGCAGTCACTTGCACCACTCTCTCCAGCAAGCTTCAGGTCTGGGCTCTTGTGTTAGACTTCTACCACTTTCTCCATAGCCCTAGCTCCTGGCTCACCACCCTCTATCTCCTGTGATCCTGTTTTGTGGCTGTTCCGTTGTCTGTACAAGCTTTCTCCCACTGCCGGTTCATGCAGTTCCCAGGATTAGGGAGACACCAGGTGTCCTAAATTACTATGTTGTTGATGGTCCTGATCTTGCCAAAACCTGCTGACCATTAGGTCTGAGTGCCACCCAGACCTATTTTGACCTGCAGCATGCCAGAGTCGGTATTATTTTCCCTGTGAGTCCAGTATAATGCACTGAACTGGAAGTCTATTTGCTCCCAGCTCAGTGCAAGCACAGCTCATTATTGTCTCTCCAGTCTCAGTCTTTGCCACATTGTATAGAATGGCGGCTGATGTACCACTGGTGGAGTTCTGCTGGCCATTAGATCTGGGGGCTACCCAGACCTATTTTGGGTGGAACCTGTAGGATGCCACGTTGGTATAATGCACTGAGCCAGAAATGAGTTTGCTCCCAGCTTAGTGTATGCACAGTCCTGTTCCAAAGCCTTTGGCTCCAAACACAAAATGACACCAGATGCAGCTTTGGTCACCACCAGAGCTGGGCTGTGAAATCCACCCTGTTCCAGCACAGCCTGTTTGGGATCTATCTGCTGCTCTGTCTCTGTTCCTGGTTGAATCAAACAAATCAGCAGATGGGCAGTTCTTTGCATGGGCTCACCTCCTGAGCTCCCTGTGAACTCTCCCTCCCACTGGCTGCTGGTGGAGCTCACATCCCTGCGCACTGACTGCTACTGGAGTATCTGGTCATTGCAGCACCACATCGTTGTTTCTCTTGCTTTCCCATGTTCGTCAGTCTCCAGGTGCCCTCTGCCATCACCCTGTCCTCTCTTATTTCCTGGAATGTGCCCTATTTGCTTCACCTTGTTTAATGATCCCTTCCACCCCCATTTGTTTAAATGTGTCCTTACCCTATTCTGCCATCTTGATTCCACTGTGTAAGCCTTTAAATCATTAGTGTGGGAGGGAGGGAGTAAGGGACAGGGATTGGAGGGGGAGACAGAGAGATATAAAGAGATTGATCTTCTATCTGCTGCCTCACTCCTTAAGTTACCACAATGGCTGGATCTGAGCCAATTGGAAGCCAGGAGCCAGGAGCTTCTTCAGGGTCTGCCATGTGGGCACAGGGTCCCAAGGCTTTGGGTTATCTTCTTCTGCTTTCCCAGGCCGTAAGCAGAAAGCTGGAAGGAAAGTGGAGCAGCTGCAATGTATTTTGGCTCCAGTATGGGATGGTGGTACATGCAAGGCAAGGATTTAGCCACTGAGCCATTGCACCGGGCCCTAGTAATTTTTTTTTTTAAGATTTCTTTACTTTTATTTGAGAGACAAATTTAACAGAGAGGAGAGATAGAGAAGGTCTTCCATCCATTCTTCACTGCCCAAATCACCGCAATGGCCAGAGCTGGGCTAGTCTGAAGCTGGGAGCCAAGAGTTTCTTCTGTCCTCCAATGTGGGTACAGTGGCTCAAGAACTAGGACAGTCCCCTACTGCTTTCCCAGGCCATAAACAGAGACGTGAATAGGAAGTGGAGTTGCTTGGACGATCCAGGGCACATATGGGATGTTGGCTCCACAGGGTAGAGGACTAGTTTGTTGTGCCACTACACTGCTCCCCTTGTAAACTAATAATTTTTATAATTGCATGATATTCTGTGGAAATCTGCTTCCAGTATTCAAAGTTTAAGAACTCTTGTTGGAAAATTGCTTTCCCTGGTTATGCATGTGTTACCTCTTATTATAAGAAGTAATTCTGGACCTGGTGCAGTAGCCTAGTGGCTAAAGTCCTTGCCTTGTATGCGCCGGGATTTCATCTCCGACTGTTGCAGCTACTTGGGGTATAAACCAGTAGATGGAAAGTCTTTCTCTCTGCATCTCCTTCTCTCTGTAAATCCGACTTTCCAAAAAAAATTTAATAATAATAAATCTTAAAAAAAAATTAATTCTTACAGTGAACTTCAATGAAAAGGTTCTTGACAATTCTAAGTAAATTTTCCTGCAGTACAGAAGTGTTGCTCTTCAATTTTAAATCTGAATAGTAACACATGTGTACCTTTGCAATTGTAGCTTTACCATTAATCTATTATGTTACAGGTTTGAATTATTGATTAAGAAAGTAGTAGGAAGTTGTTAATGTGTCTTTCTGTATGTGTGTTAGCTAATGTTAGTGTGTGCACACAGTCTTCTTTATTAAATGCAATGAAATCTATAAACCTTTAATGCTAATTGTATTTATGTAAACTTTTCTCCCCCTTTCTTTACATTGCAATTAACTTATTCTTTATTTGAAAGAGAGAGAGAGGGTGAGTGAGTTCTTCTGACAGTTGTTTTACTTTTCAAATGGCTGCAGTACAGGAGCTAGCCTAGGCGAAAGCCAGGCATTGGAAACCATTTCAGTCCTCCCATAAAGGTGGCAGGCACCTAAAAATTTGAGTTGTTATCTATTGCTTCCCAGAGTATGCATTAACAGTTTAACTATTGAGCCCAAGGACTTCTATGAAAAATATACCTTATAGTTTCAACTGAGTTTCCTTTTCTCAATTTCTTGTTTGTATTTTTATGACTTTATTTTAAAGAAAGAAATTCTTGGTCAAATTATATTGAAATTGTAGCTTGTGGAGATTCATTGTTCATTCTTCTGTGATGAGTGAGTTGATATAAACAGCTACACTTATTGGAATGTGTCCTACATATGTTATAAGATAGAGAGTGGCATTATGGTATACTTGGTAAAGCCCCTACTTGGACACTCAGATCTCACATTAGAATGTCTGGAATAAAGTCCCACCTCTGCTTCCTATTCATTTTCTTCTTCTTTTTTTTTTTTTCCCTCGTCCCTCCCTCCCTTCCCCCCTATTCATTTTCTTTACAGTGTATCAACAGTAGGAGATGGTCCAAATCCTTTGGTCCTGATGCAGTTCTGGCTGCTCCTTTGGCCTAATATAGCTGTTGTCAGCATTTAGGGAATAAACCAGTTCATCAACTAGCTCTCTCTGCCTTTAGAATGAGTGAACAAATGTATAAACAAATATTTTTTAAAAAAGTTAAACATATCAAATGTTCATTGCTGAATGTTTTATTTTTTGATGTGGAGGTAGCTGTTCCACTTAGAAATTATTTTAACATCAAGTTGATTAAAAAATTCTAAGAAGAAAAGAGCAAAGAATTAATACTAAGAGATAAGTTGCTATGTATGTTTTAAAGGAATCATCATTTTTATAACAAATTTTTCTAGCATGATGCTGTCTTTCTGTCTTTTGTTAGCATGAATCTGTTTTTCATCAACGAGACTTTTTTCTCTGTTAAGTAGATTATTTGGAATACAAGCTGTTTTTAGATTTTTCTGAATTATATTAAAAAGACTGAAGTGATTAACTTTGTAAATTTATTACATTTAGCCCTTTCCACTGGTGTTTACCATTAACTACAATGTTTTCCTTTTTCTGCATATGAGAACCTGAGAACCAAAATCTGACATTATAATGAATTTGTCTTTTGAGGTTCATTGAGCATTTAAGAATGATATTTTCACGTTTAGAGTGGTAGATGTAAAATCTGATTATCTTCTTTCTGATGCAGTATTGATTAGTTTGATTTTATGGCAATTAATTGTTTTGTGGTAATGGAATTAAGGATGAATTGATGTGACTAACTTTCTGTCTGTTCTGTTATTTTCATATTTTATTTAAAAGATTTCATTGAATAAGATAAGTTAAATGATGCTTATTACAAAAGTTTGCACAAATAAAGTTAGCATTATGGCAAGATTTCCACTGAAAATGAATGCCTCAGATTGACATGAACTTGAGCTGTTTCTTACCCTGAGAACAAATGTTACAAAGATTTAATGATTCGTGAGGTATTTTGTTCACATTATGAAGGTTTGTTTTGCCCCAATTATATTTGTTTAGTGTAGTTGAGTTGTCAATGCATTATTAAGTGTTCAGCCTCTTTATTTATGCTCTTTGACCCCACCCCCATTCTTTTCTCCCAAAAACTTGTTCTTTGCTTCTGTACTGTTCTGATTTGGATAGGATTTTCTGAATGGAATCAAACAATAGGTGACATTTTCAAATGAAGAAGATTTGTTTCTTTGAAAGTGTTACAAAGAGAGAGAGAGGGAGAAGAGGCATAGAGGATCAGAGAGAGAAATTGAAAATCTTCTGTTTGTTGTTTCACTTCCCGAATTGCCTCAATGCCTGTGGCTTAGTCAAGCTGAAATCAGGAGCCAGAACCTTCTTCTGGTTTTCCACCTGGGTGGCAGAGGCCCAGGCACTTGGGCCATCTACTGCTTCTTTCCCAGGTGCATAAGCAGGGAGCATGATTGAAAAAAGCATCTGGGACTCTTACTGGTACCCATATGGGATGCTGGTGCTGCAGGCAGTGACTTTCCCTCTATGTCACAGTACTGCCCCCAGTAATATCTGCTACTTCACTCCCTAGACTTCTACAACAGCTAGGTTTTATCTAGGGCCATCATTGCATGAGATCAAATACTTAGGTTATATTTAGCTCAGACCTAGACATAGTAAGAGAAAGCTGGGGAGCTGTGACTCAAATCAGCACTCTGCTATAGGATACTTAAGTTGTAAACCTTAACCTGCTGTACCGCTATCCTGGGACCATCTTCTCTCTTTTTTATTATTTAATTATTTTTTATTTATTGAAAGGCAGAGTTACAGAGAGAGGAAGAAAGGCAGAGAATCTTCCATCTGTGAGTTTACTCCCCAAGTGGCTACAGTGGTCATCCCTGGACCAGGCTCAAGCCAGGACCCAGGAGGTTAATATTGGTCACCCACATGGATGTCAGGGGCTGAAATACTTGGGCCGTCTTCTGTTGCATTCCCGGACTCATTAATAGGGAGCTGGATTGGAAGTGGAGCAGCCCAAGGCTTAATGTGCCATACCACAATGCTGGTTTCTTGTCCCCTAGTAAAAAGAGCTCCCCATTTGTGAGCTACTGATTTTTCTGTGGCTTTGCCTCATCATGTGGAGAAACATTTGTGGTTTTTTCCATGTGATTGTATTTCTTGTACTTGGTCTGTTAGGGGCATATTATAGATTTTCCTTATTCCAAAGTGAAATGCTTACCTTATATATTGAAAGGAATAGTCTTCAAGTATGTGTATGTTAAAAGTATGTTTTTTTCCTTAGTTATTAAGGTATTGTATAACTTCAGTGTCACATATTGGTAAGAAATTATTAACCTCTATTTACTGTTTTTACCTTTGTGAAGGTACTTGTGAGTGAAGATTCTGACAGTGATGGTATTGTGGCCCACTTCCCTGCCCATGAGAAACCTGTGTGCTGCATGGCTTTTAATACAAGTGGTAAGATTTTTTGGTTTGTTTTTATTTTGATATTTGTAGCATGTGTTTTCCACCCATTTTTAAAAAAATTTCAAATGTGAAAAATAAAATAACTGCTCATGCAGTAGTATAGAACAGGAAAGTTAGAGTTTTTTCGTAATTATTATGGACATCCTTGCATTAGAAAAACATTTGAAATAAAAATTCAGAACCTCTTTGAATCACTAGTTTTGCTTTCAGCAATATGGTGTTTGATTAGGGGTTGTAGTATACGTAAATAGGGTTGTTATTCACATTCACTTTTGTTTTATAGTTATGCCAAAAATTTGTTATACAACTGTAGAATAGTATGTGTGTGAATGAGGGTTTCTTTGTCATTTGCATTTTTAAAATTTGAAACGTTTGAAAAGAAGAGAGAGGATGGATGGATATCCATCCTTATAGTGAGAGACAGAGAGACCTTCCATCCACTGGTTCACTCTCCAGAAGACCTCATCAGCCTGAGCTAAGCCTATCTCAAACTGGGAGCCATGAGCATTTTCTGGATCTTCCATGTAGATGCCAGGAATCACGGACTTGAGCCATCTTTTGTTGCCTTCCCAGAGCATAAACAGGGAGTTGGATTGAAGTGGAGAAACTGGGACTAGAATTGGTGTCCCTGTGGTATGCTGCTGCTGCAGGTGGAGGATTTTCCAACTATGCCACACAGGTTGGCCCATGTCCCTTGCATTTTAGAAACTTGATTCCTTTTATTTTTCCTAGTTTGTTGTTGAGACTCTTTTGGTTGTTTTACATGGAGCCATTTTATAGCAGTGTGGAATGCTATAGTTTTTATTTTTTCTGTAAGTCTTTATTAGGAAAATTTTAGAACATAAAAATCAATCCAAGAGGAGTTTGTGCCATGGTGAAGAAGGCTAAGCCTCTGCATGCAGTGCAAGTATCCCTTGTGGGCACTGGCTCAAGTACTTGCTGCTCCATTTATAATCCAGCTCCCTGCTGATAGCTTGGGAAAGTAGCAGAGGATAGCCCAAGAACTTGAATCCCTGTGCTCATGTGGGAGACCTAGTAAAAGTTCTTGGCTCCTGGCTTTGGACCAGCCACCTCTGGCCATTGCTTCCCATTTGGAAGTAAACCAACAGATGGAAAATCTTTCTCTGTCTCTCCTCACGTTGTAACTCTGCCTTTCAAATAAAAATAAGTAAATGTATAAAAAAATCAATTTATAAAGTATTGCAGTAATTACACATACAGTATTACTTAATCAGGTGATAGATATATTTTATATATATGAGTGTTATCCTGACAAATATGAATATGTTACATATAATGTGATATTGTCTCCAGTTGAATTTAATCATATATTTCTAAGATTTGGGATTTTGTTCTACACAGTCGACTATTCAAGCTCAGGAAAATGGTACTTTATACTAATACCGATGATATTAGTATTTATTTTGCTAATGCAGTTTAGAGCGGTTGTCTTTTTAAATTCTGAATTAATCAGGTTATATCATTATACCATGATGATGGCTTCTGTATTTCCCTATTCCCTGGTTTTCCTTTAGCAGAAAGTAAGGTTTAGAGAGGCTTAAAATTATTCTGAAAAAAAAAAAAAAGAGATTTTATTTTGTCTAAAACTTCCTAATTATTACTATTTATGATGTTTCATTCTAATAGCAGACACATTATATTAGCTTGCCTCCCTGTTTATATTTTTTTGGATCACAATGGATAAGGTTGTAGCTATGAAATATTTTCCGAAAATTATTTGGTTTCATTAGTTACACTTATTTCAGCTTTTTTTTAGCTTTTCTTTTTTCTTTCTCCCTCCCTTCCTTCCTTTCTCTTTCCTTCTTTCTTTTTATTTCCCTTCCCTTCCCTTCCCTTCCCTCTTCCCTCTTTCCTCTCCCCTCTTTCCTCTCCCCCCTTTCCCTTCCCTGTTTTTTTTTTTTTTTAGATGAACATAGAGACAGAAGTTTCTGTTTAATCATTCACTTACCAAATGACAAAAGTAGTGAGTGCTAGTCCCGGCTGCTGTCAAAATCCTGTAACTCAGTCTAGTTCTCTTTGTATGTTTGGGAGCCAACCAACTGAGTCATCTCTGTTGCTTGCCAGAGTGTACATCAGCAGGTCGCTACAATTGGGAGTTCATCAAGTATGAATGAACTGTAGTTCTGCATATAGGAAGCATAAGTGCTTAGTTCTTTCCTTGCCAATTTTCTTCCTATGGAGTTGATATAAAACTTCTAAGACTGGGAAATCAGTTCATTGTAAACAACCTCTCACAATCCCTCCCCCCTTATTTGTTTTTTTTCTTCAGATAAAAGGCAGAACTGCTCCATTGCTTTCAGAGCTTTGTAAATTTGTGGTGTTATTATCTTTTATCAATTTGGCTATGTATTTACATAACCTGCCATTTTAATTTTTTCTTCAAAATAATCGTGTTATAAACAATGGAAAATTGTTGTCTTTTCCTTTTCTTTTAAAATGAAGATTGATGGTAAAAAGTAAGACAGGACACTCAATATTTCACCTTATAATATCCTTGTCTTTTTTGATGAAGAGAGAATTTTGAAGTCATTGGTGATTTTTTTTTAAAGATTTATTTATTTCTTTATTGGAAAGTCAGACATACAGAGAGGAGGAGAGACAGAGAGGAAGATCTTCCACCCGATGATTCACTCCCCAAGCAGCTGCAATGGCTGGAGCTGAGCCAATCCGAATCCAGGAGCTTCTTCCTGGTCTCCTGCGCGGGTGTAGGGTCCCATGGCTTTGGGCTGTCCTGCACTGCTTTCCCAGGCCACAAGCAGGGAGCTGGATGGGAAGCAGGGCTGCTGGGATTAGAACCGGCAGCCAAATGGGATCCTGGCACATGCAAGGCAAGGACTTTCACCACTATGCTATTGTGCCGGGCCCGAAGTCATTGGTGATTAACAAGATTGTTTTAATTGATAAAGACACAGATTTATTGAAAGTCTCAGAATTTTGAGAGAATTAAGGCAAATGTCAAAGTACAGTCTGAAAGTTATGTCACTTAAGCACTCCAGTTAGAGTAGTGACAGAGTAAATCGCTGTCATTTTCCATCTGATATGTCAGATGTCCTTTGTGTTAGTATATATATTGTATAACCCTAGTTAGAATCTTTGACATTTGAGATGTATTGCAGAATTTAAAGAATGTTTTAGTAATCTCTTTTGTTGTCAGCAGTTAACTTTTAATCAAAAATGTTTTCTTAATTTGTTTTTTCATTTCCTGTTTCATTTTTTTGACATCTCATACTTACATTTATCTTTTCTAAATTTTTGAGTATTAGGTTTATAATTTTGATTTAATTTACTATGTTTTAATAGTGGTTTCCCTTGCTAACATTTCTGTTTCTCTCAAGAAGGGACTGGATATCATCTATTGTTTCATCTCTATTTGCTAGAATAGTATTTCAAGAGTAAAGAAGCTCATTGAATGAATTATTTTGTACTCTTTTAGTTATTTACAATGTGCTATGCATGATATTGAATAGCTTGAAACTAAATGTGATAGAATAAACCCCAGTCTTTAAAAAAATTTTTTTTCTTATATATTTTTGACATTTTGATCAAAATATGGTAAATGTTCTTTTGTTTTTTGAAGATTTTTAAAAAAATGTATTGGAGGGGCCAGCATGGTTTCATAGTAGGCTAATCTTCACCTGTGGCATTCGCAACCCATATGAGCACCAATTTTTTTTTTTTTTTTTTTTTTTTTTTTTGGAAAAAGGAGTTTTATTTTTCATGATTTTCATGATACAGTTCCATAGGTTCAGGGATTTCCTCTTCCACTCTCCCTGCTCCCTCTAGCCCTCTCCCTGTGGGTTTTTCCCTGTATTATTACAATAGTATAGTCCTTCAGAACCAGTTACAAGTCCACCATTCTGCTATTTAAGTGTATAATGACATTGTAGGTACAGACAGTGGTAGAAAGCTCAGCGTCTTATTGTCAAGATATATATTTTTAAACTACATTTGTTTCATTTTATGACATAGTTTCATAGGCTCTTGGGTTCCTCCAATCCCTCCCCAAACCCTCCTCCCCGCATTGAATTCCTCCACATTGTTACAGTAGTATAGATCACAGCCAGTCATGATTCCTTCATTATGGACATGGACCATGCAGAGAGTCCAACATCTTATTGTTCATATAAATTCAGCAGTTTCATTGAGAAATCATCCCTGGTCTGAAAGTAGGGCTGGCAGAATATCTTCCCCTCCAATGAAAAGCCACTAACAACTTCAACAACAATTTACAACATCATAAAGATAATTGGCATGGTATTGAGTGACCGGTATATTAGAAAATACAAGTTCTCATTGCTTCTCGGCCTTTTGGCTAAGATCAATGAAAATACAAGTTCTTAACCACATCCTATAACTACTTCATTGACATCTCATTTATAGTTTATACACAACCGGCTGCTATACTCCTTAAGATAGTTATATGGTACTATTCAGCTGTCTCGTGTCTATTTTCATTTATACATTTAGCAGCTTAAAATATTCAAGTGTGATTTCTACTGAACTGCATGAAATTTAGGATAGTCCAAACAGGCTTATAACTCTAACAAGGCATATGTTAACTACTGAGGAGCAGAACAGTTTTAGGAGGGATGTGCAGAGAAATCTTCAATACCTTAGTGAGGAGTAACTAATCTTTGTGTCCTGCCTAGTTAGGTATATGGGAGTCCAAGCTGACTGTTTCCTGTCTAAGCTTTCCTTATTGGTCTCTATCTGATCCAATTTTTTTTTGTGGGGGTTGGGGGCTCCGGGGCAACCCTGATGGTCATTGCAAGAGAGGATCAGGAGCCAAAGTTGGAACTGAGGACAAGAGAAAGCTCCTCTCCCTAGTCCCAAAGGAAATTTACTGTTCTTCTGTTTCTGAGGACTGCTCAGTGCTCCTGGCTGTTGTTCCAATGACATTAGATCTGTGAGGAAGGATCTGGGCTTCTTCCATCCCCTGTGGGAGATCCAGTAGGGAATGGATGGCCTCA